CTGACAACAAGGCGTCTATTCTCCTTTGTCGAGAGCCACGACTGGAGAGCAGAGTGAAGCACATTCACGTCAGGTACTTTCTTCTGCGAGAGTTGCAGAGGCGTGGACAGGCTCGCTTTGAGTTTGTGGAGTCCAAGGCCAACACTGCAGACATCTTCACCAAGGCGCTTCCGCCTTGTGACCACCAGAGGTGCTGTGTGCAGTTAGGCCTTGTTGACACTGGTTCTCGTGTTGCTTAGACTTGAGTGTACTGTTTACTTTGCTTTCTATATACCTCTGTTACTTCTTGGACTGGCCTTGTGGCCACTGTTGTTTGTGCTCAGACTGTGTGGTGACGTTGTGATCCACCCTGAGCTTCGTTTCTTGGACTGGTCTTGTGACCGTACTCGTTTGGTTCTGCTAGACACCCCTCACTTAGGCTATGGGGGTGTGTCAAATGTTGTAGCCTATAGTGAGGTTTGTCTTAGGGGGTACAAAACTTAGGGTTAGCTATATGTACCCCAACCAACATCAATGCATCATTCATTCCTCATTTTGACAAAATCGGCTAAACCGTTTGAAAATGAGAGACGTGGGTGGAGGGAAATGACCTCCAGCCCACGTTTTGTACTCCAAAACGGGCGTTTAGCGCGGCTTGACGCTGTTGAAATTAGGCATAAGGGCCTAGGCTTAGTAGCCTAGGCCCAAGGAGATAGTGCTAGCTTAGGCCAAGGAGAGAGTCGAGAGAATTGTGGTAAGGAAGTGTGTTTCACTATAGCAAACCAGGAAGATATAGGCAAGAGAACAAGTACAAGTGGTGCACCACCAACAGTTAATAATAACTACACTACAGCTAGAACTACATGCAGGTATAAGAATTCTGACATCCCCCCATAACTGCATGCAGGGATAGCGAAGTGTAGAACACTACCTGCAGGGGTACACCACAGACAGAGACACCACAACACCAGGCAAGGTAACAGAGCAGGTACAGCAGCAAAGGGGGCAGGCACTCCTGACACCCCTTTACCCTCCTCCACCCGCCCCACGCTCTGGGCTCCCCCACACCCTCACACCCTCCCCCCCAGCGGCAGCTGCAGCAGTGGGAACGAAAGGAGGAGGGGGGGAAGGAAAACACACCACCCACCACCCCAATACCCGCCACCCCAGACCCTCCCCCCCACTGCTGCAGGGAGGCGAAGGAAGGGGGGGGGGCGGGGGTGTGGGTAGGGCAGGGGCGGCTGGATCGAGGGCTGGCGCGAGATGAGGTAGAGGCGGCTCAGGGCACCGTCGCGGGCGCCAGTGACGGGTCCGCGGCGGCTCAGGGCACCGTCGCGGGCGCCAGGGGCGGATCCGCGGCGGCTCAGGTTCCCGTCGCGGGCGCCAGGGGCGGGTCCGCGGCGGCTCAGGGCACCGTCGCGGGCGCCAGGGGTGGGTCCGCGGCGGCTCAGGCTACCGTCGCGGGCGCCAGGGGCGGGTCCGCGACGGCTCAGGCTACCGTCGCGGGCGCCAGGGGCGGGTCCGCGGCGGCTCAGGCTACCGTCGCGGGCGCCAGGGGCGGGTCCGCGGCGGCTCAGGCTACCGCCGCGGGCGCCAGGGGCGGGTCCGCGGCGGCTCAGGCTCCCGTCGCGGGCGCCAGGGGCGGGTCCGCGACGGGCAGAAAAAACGTCACGCGCCTCCCGAGCGCGGGACAGAACTAAAATCGCCACGCGCCCGAGGCGCGCGACCGGAAAAACAGCAGCGGAAGCGAGAGGCTGGCCCACAGGCCAGGGCGTTACAGGCTCTGATACCATGTTGAAATTAGGCATAAGGGCCTAGGCTTAGTAGCCTAGGCCCAAGGAGATAGTGCTAGCTTAGGCCAAGGAGAGAGTCGAGAGAATTGTGGTAAGGAAGTGTGTTTCACTATAGCAAACCAGGAAGATATAGGCAAGAGAACAAGTACAAGTGGTGCACCACCAACAGTTAATAATAACTACACTAAACAGCTAGAACTACATGCAGGTATAAGAATTCTGACGCTGCCAAATCCTACATTACAGGCAGCTTCGCTTTCGAAATACATAATTTTAAAAAGCGTAACAGCTTTTAAAAATATACATTTTTCGAAAGTGTGTAACACTTTCTAAAAATGCGTATTGTGAAAGCGCAGCTGCCTGTAACGAAGCAAAGCAACGACGAATTACAATTTGCCGATTACATAACGAGGGTTGGAGGCCATTCGGCCTCCACCCACGACTTCATTTCAGAACTTTGCAGTTTCACTCCAATTCTCGTCCAACCACCTCGACCGATTCCTTTGTCGCTAGAAACTATCTTCTAAGCTAATACTCACTTGCACGTTCGACCCAGGCGCTTGATTTTCCATGAAGGGCAAACTATCACGAGTGCGACTGTAACTGGCGGGCGCTCAACTGAGATCGAATTGCGTCGGACAAAACGCCAACAGGGGCGCCAGAGACGAAATCGCCAGTGGCGCGCGCTAGGGACGAAATCGCCAATGGCGCCAGTGGCGCACGATTGGGACGAAATCGCCACTGGCGCCAGTGGCGCGCATCAGGGACGAAATCGACACTGACGCCAGTGGCGCGCGCCAGGGACGAAATCGCCACCGGCGCCAGTGGCGCGCGATCTGGACGAAATCGCCACTGGCGCAAGTGCCGCGCGCCAGGGACGAAATCGCCACACGCGCGCATGTGGCGAAATTGCCACGTGCGCCAGTGGCAAAATCGCCACCAGCGCTCGAGGGACGAAATGGCCGTTGGAGGGGCAGTTACGAAATTGCTACTGCAGCGCCTAAGTCGTTTGACTGGGCGTCATTCGTTTCCTACGTGCTGCAAGTCTTTTAAGTTTTAAAATTTTCTTCCGTTATGATCTCTTCGATTATTTTCCATTAATCTCTATGCTCCTATTGTTACTTGGTGGCAGAAAAATTGGCTCAACACCACGGGTGTCGAAAGACATTTTTAAAGACTATACTGGTCGCGCGGGAGAACTACATTTACGACAGGATCAACTCAACGCGCACCCAAGGACGTCTCCCAATAAAAAGAAGGGACAGAGGGTCTTCGTGTGGCCTGAGAGCCGTCCCCCAGGGGGGGAAGGGGACCGAGGGTCCCCGTGTGGCCTGAGAGCCGTCCCCCAGGGGGGGAAGGGGACCGAGGGTCCCCGTGTGGCCTGAGAGCCGTCCCCCAGGGGGGGAAGGGGACCGAGGGTCCCCGTGTGGCCTGAGAGCCGTCCCCCAGGGGGGGAAGGGGACCGAGGGTCCCCGTGTGGCCTGAGAGCCGTCCCCCAGGGGGGGAAGGGGACCGAGGGTCCCCGTGTGGCCTGAGAGCCGTCCCCCAGGGGGGGAAGGGGACCGAGGGTCCTAGCGTGGCCTGAGAGCCGTCCCCCAGGGGGGGAAGGGGACCGAGGGTCCTAGCGTAGCCTGAGAGCCGTCCCCCAGGGGGGAAGAGACTCGAAGGTCCACACGTTGCCCTTACCGTAAAATGGGCAAAAATTTCGAACAATGTGCTCGTTTGTATGACTGGATCATCCTTGGTTTTTTATTTACCCATTTACTTTTTAATATGACAAAAAAAAAAAAAAAAAAGGCTGGTTGGAGCCCCACTGAAATCTCGGGAAGCAACTGTTCAAGTGCACCTCCAGTTGGTTTTAAAATCTTGACTCAAGTTGGTGTTCACACACCTTTAAACCACATTCTGTGTTTTTTCCAAATAAGGGCAATGACAATGGGATCGGTTTTCGCCATCATTCTCATCCCACTTTTTTCGATAACACCCGACAGGGAAGCAAAAGCACGCGTTGAAACGACTTGCATGCTGTCACCTGAATGGGCGTTTGGGAGTAAAAGGCGGCAATTGTGTGACCGTGCCTACCCAACCAACATGTCGAATACCACACTCACCCGACTACCACTTCAAACCCTTACATCCACCCACGTTGTAGTTATTCCGACCGGGAACATCAAACGACTGGAAAGCAGAGCACATGGAAGCTAAATCCCAAGATAAAAGTTGTACCGTACATTGGGCGTGTAGAGTACGGGAACCACCAGTTTCAACCACTATCCTGAAGCAACAACAACAAGGGACATCCACATCAACAGCACGAGCAACCTTCGCGCACAGCACCTCGGACGCCATCGACATGGAGCCCACGACTCACCAACGCCGCCCCTCCCGGCATTTCGTCCATGTCATCAACCGCAACTACACTCACCACGTCTTCAACGTCCCAGCTGCACATGTCTCAGAAGACCCAATTGTAATGAAGCCTTTGCAAGAACAGAAAGCAAGCTTTCTCAATATGAATTTTTTTGAAAGTGTGTAACACTTTCTAAAAATGCGTATTGTGAAAGCGCATCTGCATGTAACGAAGCAAAGCAACGGCGAATTACAATTCGCCGAGTACATAACGAGGGTTGGAGGCCATTCGGCCTCCACCCACGACTTCATTTCAGAACTTTGCAGTTTCACTCCCCACCCACCCACCCTAGTTGTACCAATATTTGTATGATCCATAGTTGGACGAGAATGTTGTATTACTGCAATTGTAATGAAGCCAGTTGCCCCCAATTGTAATGAAGCCAGTTGCCTTTGCAAGAACAGAAAGCAAGCTTTCTCAATCTAAGGATTCACTTCTCTCAGCAACTCAGCCCCTAGTACATCGCATTACCCTACATCATATCTGATCTGATCCCGAACTATTAACTACTTGGGCGACTTTTGACTCGACTCAAGATTCACTTCTCAACAGCTCAGCCCGTTCATCACATTACATCAGATCCAATCTGAGCCCTAACTGTTCACTGTTTTCTTGAGAAAAAAATCCATAACATGGAGTAGGATGGAAGGAAGAGTGAGCAGGAAGGCAGACAGGCACATAAATTGTAGGTAGCTTTGACTTGACCTCTCACTCACTCTTCACTCCATCCCCCCCTCACCTAACCCTGTTCTCCATGTTCAGTACATTGCATTGCATCATCCACATTCCCCTCCCTCTTCCACCCCTCCCCTGCTCCCCTACTCTCCCTGCTTTGCCCGGCACCCTATGCTCTCTCCGCTCCCCTGCTCTTGCTCCATCCCCCACTCCGCCTCTGCTTCCTCTCCCTTCCACTCCGCCTCTGCTTCCTCTCCCTTCCACTCCGCCTCTGCTTCCTCTCCCCTCCTCTCCGCCTCTGCTTCCTCTCCCCTCCTCTCCGCCTCTGCTTCCTCTCCCCTCCTCTCCGCCTCTGCTTCCTCTCCCCTCCTCTCCACCTCTGCTTCCTCTCCCCTCCTCTCCACCTCTGCTTCCTCTCCCCTCCTCTCCACCCCTGCTGCGTTTGCTGAGCTCCCCACCCTTTAACGTTTCCCCATTTCACTGCTTCCGTACTGCTCCCGTTTCATGCTCTCCCCTTCACTCTCCCCTTCATCGTCCACATTCTGCTGCTTCTATTTTGCCTCTTCTTTCAGCTCTTCTCCTGCCTCGTCTGCTGAGCGCCCCACCCTTCACTATTCCTCATTGCACTGCTTTGACATTCCACTCCTCTCATGCTCTCCCCTTCGCTCTCCCCTCTACTCTCCCCTTCACTCTCTCTTCACTCGTCCACGTTCTATTGCTTCTTTTGCCTCTCCTTCCAACTCTGCTTCTGCCTCATCTACATCCCAATTACTGCTTCTCTGATGTTCTCCTCTCAGGCTCTCCCCTCCCCTTCACCCGTCCTTCTGCTGCTACTTCTGCCTCTCCTTCCACCTCTGCTCCTGCCTCATCTACATCCCAATTACTGCTTCTCTGATGTTCTCCTCTCAGGCTCTCCCCTTCACCCGTCCTTCTCCTGCCTCTTCTGCCTCTCCTTCCACCTCTGCTCCTGCCGCATCTGCTGGACCAACCCATTGTCACTCTTCCGCTGTTGCACTGCTACTATACTGCTCTTCCCTTCACTCTCTCTTCACTCGTCCACATTCTATTGCTTCTTTTGTCGCTCCTTCCACCTCTGCTCCTGCCGCATCTGCTGGGCTGCAGACAGGTGTGCGTTATAAGGAGGGGCATTCATTCCCGTTACAGGCACACCCTGGGGAAGCAACGCGCCTCCTCCTCCACTTACACTCACACCAGGGTGAATCAATATTCCTGTTCCCCCCATAACCCCTGTCCCCCCCCTTCCCATTACGTCTGCCCCCATTACCCTTGCTGCTGTCCCTCCCATTCCTTCTGCCCCCATAACCCCTGCGCCTGCCCCCCCCATTACTCCTCCTCCCATTACTCCCCCCCCATCACTCCCCCTCCCATCACTCCCCCTCCCATCACTCCCCCTCCCATCACTCCCCCTCCCATCACTCCCCCTCCCATCACTCCCCCTCCCATCACTCCCCCTCCCATCACTCCCCCTCCCATCACTCCCCCTCCCATCACTCCCCCTCCCATCACTCCCCCTCCCATCACTCCCCCTCCCATCACTCCCCCTCCCATCATTCCCCCTCCCATCACTCCCCCTCCCATCATTCCCCCTCCCATCACTCCCCCTCCCATCATTCCCCCTCCCATCACTCCCCCTCCCATCACTCCCCCTGCTTGCCCTCCCATTTCGCCTGCCCCCCAAACCCCCATACGGCCCGCTCCTGCCCCGCCTCCTGCACCCATCACCCCTGCTCGCACCCCTGCCGTTCCATGTGCGCCCATCACACCAACACCACTACCCATCACACCAACACCACCACTACCCATCACACCAGCAGCACCACCACCCATAACGCCTGAACGAGCACCACCCATCACAGCAGTATTACCAGCACCACCCATAACACCAGCAGCAGTACCACCAGCAGCAGTACCACCAGCGCCAGGGCCAGCAGTTGGAGTGTTAAGTCTGCTTGTGGCGTTATTGGCATTATAATTCATGGAAAGAGGAGTGGGGAGAGGAGGCAACCCTTTTGCGAAATGGGCAAGAGTAGCAGCAACAGCAGCAACAACAGCAACAGCAGCAGCAGCAGCAGGAGCAGCAGCAGGAGCAGCAGCAGAAGCAGGAGCAGCAGCAGAAGCAGCAGAAGCAGCAGCAGAAGCAGGAGCAGCAGCAGAAGCAGGAGCAGCAGTCAGAGACGCGTCGCGAGCTGCTGCTGCAAATGCAACAGCAGGGGAAACCGCAGGTGCCAAAACAGCAGGGAATGAAGCGTGATTCGTCGAGCTTCCAGCCAGTGGCATCGTGCCACCTGTCCCCGTGCCGCCCAGGTAAAAGGGAGCGCCCCCGCTGATAACTCTGGAGTTTGCAGGTTGCTGCTGCTGCTGATTTTGCTGCTGCTGCTGCTGATTTCGCTGCTGCTGCTGCTGATATCGCTGCTGCTGCTGCTGCTGCTGCTGCTGCTGATTCTGCTGATTCTGCTGATTCTGCTGATTCTGCTGCTGCTGCTGCGGCTGCTGCGGCTGCTGCTGGTCTGCCTGTGGTGGGTGCTGTGAAAACCTTTCTTGCCATTTCTGCCTTGAAACACCCCCCAAACTATCCCCCACGTTCCCCCCTAGACCATCCACAGAAACGTCCACCCCTCGGGCGGCAAGCTGTGTCTGTATCTGCCCCATGCGCAGCTGTAGCTGCTGCAGCTGCGACTGTAGCTGGATATACTGCGTCTGATACTCCTGCAGCTGCTGTAGCAGCTGAGAAGTGCGGATTTGATTCTGTATTTCATTCTCCTCGTCCCCTTGACTCTGCACCTTCTGAACCTTCTGCACTTTCTTCCTCCCATTCCGGTTCTCTTGGGTTTTCTCCTGTGCGGATGCATGTGTTTTTATCTGCCCGTTTTCCTGCCCCTGCAATTGAGTGGTTGTAGTAGCAACAGTGGTCCTTCCCCCCATCCCTTCCCCCACCCCTCCCCCAATCCCTCTCCTCATCGTCCCCGTTGTATCCCCCATCGCCCCACCCATGATGCCTCGCTCTACCTGAGACTGGTCGTGTTGATTCACCTGGCTCTGTTGTCCCACCTGAACTTCAACCTGCTGCTGCAACTCCCCTTCCCCCGCCATCTCCCCACTCGTTCCCCCCCATCCTCTGCCACTCGCTCCCCCATACCTCCCCTCCTCCTCCCCTTGCCCGTCCTCATCCCCCTCTTCCCCCTCTTCCCCTTCTTCCCCCCCTCCCCGCACCTCCCCCACCACCTTTCCTCCCCCGCCCCTATCATCTTGTGGCGAGTACAAAGTGTAGAGGCTACTAACGGAGCAATTCGCCTCCCTTAAAACCTCTTCCAAGGAAAACCCAGCCATGAACAGTAGAGTAACGCCAAGCGACCTGAAGAATCTCCTGCCCACGTGGGTCAGCCCGGCAGCATCTGCCAGGTGGGCGGCGGAGCGAGCCAGGTTGGTTCGGCCCATGGGATGGCGGGCGTAACTGGTGCAGGTGGCATGTGGGGGAGGTGGGGGTGGGGAGGGAAGAGGGAAAGACTTGTGAGAATTCTCAAAAGTGATTCCCAAAGAGGGGAAGAAGGGGCAAGGATTAGAGGCGGAGCGAGCCAGGTTGGTTCGGCCCATGGGATGGCGGGCGTAACTGGTGCAGGTGTTTTGGGGGGAGGGAGGGGGGGGGAAGTGGAATGGGGAAAGGGGGAGAGCGGGAGGGAAGAGGGGGGAAAAGGATCATTTAGGATGGGTGAATGGCCCTGTGAGTGTGACCAGGTGGGCAGCATCTGCCAGGTGGGCGGTGGAGCGAGCAAGGTTGGTTTGGCCCATGGGGGGCGGGTGTAACTGGTGCAGGTGCTATGGGGGATGGGAGGTGGAGAAGGTGAGAGGGGGGAGAAAGGAAAAATGGGGGGTAGGGGAATAGGCACATAAGTTGGGTGCAGTAGCAACAGTGGAGTAACCCTAAACCCTAAACGCCAAGGAAAAATATCCTGGGAAATCTCCTGAAAAATCTCCTTGCCACATGAGGAAGCCCGGGTCACCTGTTCAGAGGCCCGAAAGAAGGCACGCGAGAAAACTTCGCCGATAAAAACAGGCTCGGCGCAGCTCCGGGCGGGCGCATCCGAGCCTCCTCGTCCAGGATCCGAACCGGGCACAGGATCGGGTTCTGCAGGTTCGGAAAGAACTGCTTGTGCACGAGGCTCGGCGCGAGGCTCGGCGGCGGCACAAACGCAACATGCTCGCCCGGAAACTGAGGAGACAGGTACTCCCCTCCCCGGTTGAGGACGACAAAATGGGAAAACTCCAGCTTGAGTAGGGCGTCTAAGCCGCCGCGTACGGCAAGTGTGGCAAAGACGATGAGTTTTCGCATGGTGTGGGCAATGGCGTTGGTTCGGGCGAGCGCTGGGCTTGCCATCATGCGCTGAACATCGGATATGCGGAGCGCGTTGTTGGCTGATGCGCTTCGAGTTCGCTTCCGCTTCCTGCTGCTGCTCAAGTCATGATTTGCTGCTGATGAGATGATCTGAACCCTGCTGCTACTAGCAGCGCCTGCCCCGGTTGCTGCTGCGGCTGCTGCTGCTGCTGTGGTGGCTGCTGCTGCGTCTTCTAAATCCTCCTCTGTCTCCCTCTTGACCTCCAAGCTTGGAGCCCCAACCTCTGCTGCTAGATTCATCTCGCCTTGCTCTTGCTGCTGCTGCTGCTGCTGCTGTTTCCAAGCCCGGCTTTCTCCATCCCCACTGCATTGAGGAAAGAACCCTCTGCCATGCTGCCCTCATCTGGTTTTTGAGAATTCTCGAATGCCATGCTGCCCTCATCCTCCTCTGTTTCCTCCTCTGTCTCCTCATCATCCGTCTCCTCCAGCAGCATATCGAATCCCCCTATAACGCCCTCCTCTGAAGCTCTTCCAATGCTTCCCCCAGTGCCTCCCCCACTGCCTCCCCCACTACCTCCCCCAGTGGTTCTTCCTGCCAGTGTAACGCCTCCCCCAGTAGCGCCTTCCCTAGGATCTGATCCAGGTTCATCCAAAGAAGCATCCGTTATAGGTTCATCTATTACAGAAGCTACTACCACAGGAATTCCCTTCATAAGCACATCCGTTACAGGTGCGACAGCCAAATGCACAGCTTCAGCAGCAACAGCAGAAAGTGTTTTGGCTGCTTCAGCAGTCAGACCATCTGCTTCCGCTATTGTCACTTGGTGTAACTCCTCCTCAGTAGTATCTCCCCCCGTTATTGTCATCCGGTCTAACCCCCCCTCAGCTGCTTCAGCAGTCACAGCCTCAGCTTCCGCCATTGTCACTCGGTGTGATTCCTCCTCAGCAGCAACCCTCGCTATTGTCACTTCCCCTACCTCCGCCTCCTCGGCTGTAGCCTCCTTCCGAGCCGCTTCCTCCTCGGCTGTAGCCTCCTTCATAAAAACCTCCTCCACATTTGTAGCCTCCTTCCCAGCCCCCTCGTCCACAGCTGTAGCCGCCTTTTCCGCCTCCTCCTCCACAGGTGTAGCTGCCTTCCCTGCCTCCTTGTGTGCGGCTGAGGCCGCCTTTCCCCGGTTCTGCGACGCATCAACATTGACTTCTGAGGCGCCTTTTAACGCGCGAGCGGCTTTAGCCTCGTTCGCCACGTCGCCAGCGTCGCTTGGTACTCTGTCGCTACTTAATCCGTCGCACTCAGGGGCGCACCCGGGTCGTTCTGGGACCATCTCGTCGCCCTTTGCTGGCTCTGCGACCATCTCGTCGCCCTTTGCTGGCTCTGCGACCATCTCGCCGCTTCTTCTTGGCTCAGCGACCATGTCTCCGTTACTTCTTGGCTCTGCGACCATCTTGTCGCCTCTTGCTGGCTCTGCGACCATCTCGTCGCCTCTTGCTGGCTCTGCGACCATCTCGTCGCCTCTTGTTGGCTCTGCGACCATCTCGTCGCCCTTTGCTGGCTCTGCGACCATCTCGTCGCCCTTTGCTGGCTCTGCGACCATGCCAGCGCTTCTTCTTGGCTCAGCGACCATGTCGCCGCTTCTTCTTGGCTCTGCGACCATATCGTCGCCTCTTGATGACTCTGCGACCATCTCGTCGCCCTTTGCTGGCTCTGCGACCATCTCGTCGCCCTTTCCTGGCTCCGCGACCATCTCGTCGCCCTTTGCTGGCTCTGCGACCATCTCGTCGCCCTTTGCTGGCTCTGCGACCATGCCAGCGCTTCTTCTTGGCTCAGCGACCATGTCGCCGCTTCTTCTTGGCTCTGCGACCATCTCGACGCCTCTTGATGACTCTGCGACCATCTCGTCGCCCTTTGCTAGCTCTGCGACCATCTCGTCGCCCTTTATTGGCTCTGCGACCATCCCGTCGCTCTTTGCTGGCTCTGCGACCATCTCGTCGCCCTTTGCTGGCTCTGCGACCATGTCGCCGCTTCTTCTTGGCTCAGCGACCATGTCGCCGCTACTTCTTGGCTTTGCGAGCATCTCGTCGTCTCTTGATGACTCTGCGACCATATCGTCGCCTCTTGTTGGCTCTGCGACCATATCGTCGCCTCTTGTTGGCTCTGCGACCATCTCGTCGCCTGTCGCGTCAAAAGACTGTTGCTGGCCTCCTGCCATCTCCTGCCCTGCAGCGTCCGCTGTAGGTCCCGCCGTAGAGTTCTCTGTACGTTCGGCTGTAGCGTCGGCTGTAGTAGGTCCCGCTTTATCGTCCGTTGTAGCGTCGGCTGTAGCGCTCTCATGGGATGCATGCTGCTGCTGATCGTCATGACTGCTTGGACATCGATCGGATGACGCGTCGTGACGTACGCCTTCCAAGTCTTGTTCCTCTCTAGCATCCGAGACGTCGTTAGTAGCGTTATCCTGAACCGCGTTTACTGGCTTTGGAGACGTCTCAATATTAGTGGCATCCTCCTGATCAACAATTCCTGTATTCGCGACAGGTACCACGCTAGCCACAACAACTGCTTGATCACCGTCGTCCGCCATTTAGATTTCTCTGAACAAGGAACGGAATCTACGCTGGAAACAACGAGATTAGCTGATTCCAGGAACGAGTCGCGAACCAGAACCATTAGCTTTTCACCTATTCTGCTTCAGATGCTGGACCTGTGGTGCAAAACACGACTGCTCCAAACTCGTTTATTTCTTTCCTCCAGCTTCTTTTGTACAAGCTTTGCTTGTGTTCCGGAGTGTTGACCGTGAACGTCTCTGAATGGCCAAAGAGGACACGATTAACCCGAAGGGCTGGGAAACAAATTTCTACTACCTTGCGATACTCCCTATGGGCTGGAAAGGAAACATGTTCTTTTGGGTTTTGCTCACGGAATAGTACGACAATATGTGGAATGGATGACGTATGACGAAACACTTGCCTGGCCGAATGCACGATGCTCGAAGGGTGCACGCAACAGCGAGGTGGCAAGGGCAGCGTTCTTTGCTACAACGGGGTTTCAAGAGCTGCCCGTGAGCATGATTTTTGTTGTGGAGAATTCGGGCAGGAGATATCAAGTGACCTAGACATTTTGTGGTGGGGGTTGAGGGAGATCAATTGATCGATCAGGGGCTGAATGGATGCGCCAGCCGTTGAATCAAATCGCAATCCAACGGCTTAGCGCATCTGCAGCAAAATTATCAACCCAAGGTATCACCAATTATGTAAATCTCGAGTACACTGAACCAAAACCAATATCGAAGCTGACAATGACAAAAGTGCATTTCAGGCTTCTGCAATGCTGGGTTGAGGAAGAATCGAGGTTTTGGCTTCAGGGTTTCTTTCCCCCATTATTGCAAGATACCTGACCTGAACCAGCTGCAGATTCCTAGTATCCTGCGCTCGACGGGAACTCGTCGTTCACTTTTCCAGAGATAATGGTTCTGGTCTTATCGTCGTCACCTTAGTGCAGTGCGCCATTTCTGCTCCAATTCTCTTGAGTTTTGTTTCAAAGAGTAACTAGTTACTAGTCTGCCGCGAGTGAAGCCTGTAGACAGAACATGGCGAAACCAGGAAAACCGCGTTCCCACCGACCGCACGGAAAGGGAGGCAAGTTCGGGCAGCAGAAAAAGGGTCAGAAAAACAACAAGCACCAGTACCAGAAACCCCCTTCCAAGCTCCAGCTAGAAATCGCGGAAATCCGGCAGCTCGAAGCGCGGATCGCCGCTGGCGCACCCGCGCCGGGCTCTAATCCTCTAGCCGCGGATCTCTCCGCTCCCGCCGCTTCCGCCGGTCCCGCCGCGCCAGCGAATGGCAAAGAGCGGAAAAAGAATGCGTCTAAGGAGGGGGTACTTTCGGCAGCAGGAGGCGGATCGACGGGCGGGAAGGGGGAATTTGAGCCGTACGTCGGCGCGAAGCTGTTTGAGGAGCTGCCTATATCGAAGCGAACGATGAAGGGACTGAAGGTAAGGTTCGAGTTTTGTTATCAGGGTTTAGATTGAGGGTTTATCGTGAAGACCTCGGCTTATCTATGAGGGTTAATTTCCAACATTTGCAGGGCCTGCTGTTATGGAGGATATATAGGGTTAATACTTACAGGGTTGGGCACGGAACAGGTTAAAACTGTCGGATTGGACTTAAAAGAATAATATGTTGGTGATCCGTAAACAACAACTCGACGTTTTAGAATGATGATCCGTGAACACAAGACGGACTGAAACTCGATACGGATTGGGTTGGACACCAATGGTCTAAGATTGTGTCCGTCCGTTCTTCCATTGAACCCCCTCCTTTCCTGCCACGTGGCACAACAGGATTCGGAGTACGTCCACATGACGGCCATCCAGCGGGCTGCTATCCCCCATGCGCTGTGCGGGAGAGACGTGCTGGGAGCGGCCAAGACAGGGTCTGGCAAAACCCTCGCGTTCATTATACCTGTGAGTCTTATGTGTAGCTGCACATACACTCACTAGCTGGACCTTCGTAGCTTTGGTCTTACGCTCTGCGGGAGAGACGTGCTGGGAGCAGCCAAGACAGGCTGCGGGAGAGACGTACGTGCTGGGCTGGGAGCAGCGAAAACATGGTCTGGCGAAACCCAATTTTTTAGCTGTCCCTCCCAGCACCTCCCCTCCACCCACCCCCAAATCTCCTTTCAGCTGCTAGAGAGGCTGCATCGGCAGCACTGGTCGCACACGGGACGGCGTGGGGGCCATAGTCACATCTCCCACATGGGAGCTTGCCTCCTGACATGTCCTTCTCCTCTGTGTCATGCTGGTTTACCGTCATGTTTCTCCCCCATTCCATTAATTTCCTCAGCTCCTAGAGAGGCTCCACTGGCAGCGCTGGTCGCACATGGACAGAGTGGGCGAGGGTTGCCGTGTGGTTTTATATGCACTCACCAAGCACACCCTCCCCATCTCCACCCTATCGTGATCCCCTCAGCTGCTAGAGAAGCTGCACCGGCAGCGCTGGTCGCACATGGACGGCGTGGGGGCCATAATCATATCGCCCACGCGGGAGCTTGCCACCCAGATCTTTGGCGAGCTCAAGAAGAGACAGCCATGGGCAAGGCCAGGCGGAACCCTGGTGGCTGGCTGCTCAGAGCCGCGCCTGGAACACGCCTCGCTTTCCTCTCATCTGATGTCACCTCCCTTCCCTTCACCTCGTCTTCTTCTCTTATGGTTCTCTTGTCTTCTCTTCAGCTGTTGGAGAAGCTGCATCGGCAGCGCTGGTCGCACATGGACGGCGTGGGGGCCATAATCATATCGCCCACGCGGGAGCTTGCCACCCAGATCTTTGGCGAGCTCAAGAAGAGACAGCCATGGGCAAGGCCAGGCGGAACCCTGGTGGCTGGCTGCTCAGAGCCGCGCCTGGAACACGCCTCGCTTTCCTCTCATCTGATGTCACCTCCCTTCCCTTCACCTCGTCTTCTTCTCTTATGGTTCTCTTGTCTTCTCTTCAGCTGTTGGAGAAGCTGCATCGGCAGCGCTGGTCGCACATGGACGGCGTGGGGGCCATAATCATATCGCCCACGCGGGAGCTTGCCACCCAGATCTTTGGCGAGCTCAAGAAGGCCGGCCGGCACCACCCGTTCTCGGGCGGCTTGCTGATTGGCGGGCGGGCGGGGAGCGTGGAGAAGGAGAGGGAGCGCGTGCAGGTGGGTGGGTGGGTGGGTGGGTGGGTGGGTTGGTGGGTGGGTGCAGTCACATCACTTTGTACATTCCAGTCGTCTGCTGCAGAATATGCATGAGTCAAAAGGCAACTTTCCCTAACCCGTTTGCCTCTTCCCTCTCCCTACCTTTCCTTCCCCTTTCCCACCCTTACAGTCGCTCAACATCCTTGTCTGCACGCCTGGTCGTCTGCTGCAGCACATGGACGAAACACCCAACTTTGACGCGTCTAATCTCCAGGTATATGCCATGCCTTGGGTTTCGGTTTGTTTGTTTGTTTGTTTGTTTGTTTGTTTGTTTGTTTGTTTTTTCTTCAACAAAAGTTGTTTTGAGACGTTTTAACTTTTAAGGCCCTCTGCTCTTCCGCCCAAGCCACAGACTCGGTTTCCACCTTCAGCCCCCTCGTCTCCAGATGCTGGTGCTGGTTCTGGATGAGGTTGACAGAATTCTAAACATGGTTTTCCAGATCAGGTCGACAGAATCCTAAACATGGAATTCGTAGTAGCGCTCAACGCCCACCATCGCCAACCTGCCTCCATCCATCCATCCCCCCACCCCTTCACCCTCTTCTTCTCCCTCCCCTCTCGATGCTGGTTTTCGATGAAGCCGGTCGCATTCTTGTTCTCGGCTTTGCAGCAGCGCTTAGCGCCATCATAGCCAGCCTGCCACCACCCCCCACCACCTTCCCCCCCGGCCCTGCTCCCCTTCTTCCCCCCCCCCCCCCCCCACCCCCCCCTATGAGATGCTAGTTTTGGACAAGGCTAATTGCATTCTCGATCTCGGCTTCGCAGCAGCACTCAACGCCATCATCGCCAATTTTTAAGTCGACTTAAAAATCGACTCATCGCCAATCGACCGCCACCCCCTGGCCCCCCTTCCCTTTCGTTTGAGATTAGTTTTGAGAATTCTCAAAACTAATCCCTTCCCTTTCCCTGTCTTTCCCCAACCGACCCCCAGATGCTCGTGTTGGACGAGGCTGATAGAATTCTAGACCTGGGCTTCGCAGCAGCCCTCGATGCCATTATAGCCAAACTGCCGCCACCCCCCACCGCCTTCCCCCCCGGCCCTGCTCCCCTCCTTCCCCACATCCCCCTACCCCCCCCCCCCCCTTTTTTCAGATGTTGGTTTTGGACGAGGCCGGTCGAATCCTAGACCTCGGCTTCGCAGCAGCACTCAACGCCATTATTGCCAATCTGCCTCCACCCCCCCCACCGCCAAACACTCCTCTTCTCCGCCACGCAAACCAAGCCCGTCCGGGACCTCTCCCGCCTCTCCCTCTCCCCCTCTCGTCCCCCCCCCCCCCCCCCCCCCACACACCCAGATGCTCGTGTTGGACGAGGCAGACAGGATTCTCGATCTCGGCTTTGCAGCAGCACTCAACGCCATAATAGCCAATCTGCCAATCTGCCGCCGCCCCACCACCGCCAAACGCTCCTCTTCTCCGCCACGCAAACCAAGTCCGTCCGGGACCTCGCCCGCCTCTCGCTCTCCCCCACCTCCCTCTCCCTCTCCTCGCCCGAGTACCTCTCTGTTCATGCTGAAGCGAATCAAAGCTATCTCCTCTTCCATTCCGCCCCTTCCCCTCCAGATGCTGGTTCTGGATGAAGCTGACAGGATTCTTGATCTCGGCTTCGCAGCAGCTCTGAACGCCATTATTGCCAACCTGCCTCCGCCCCCCCACCGCCTCCCCCCCGGCCCTGCTCCCCTTCCCCCACACCCCCCCCTTTCAGATGTTGGTTCTGGATGAAGCCGATCGCATTCTAGACCTGGGATTCGCAGCAGCACTCAACGCCATTATTGCCAATCTGCCTCCGCCCCCCCACCGCCAAACGCTCCTCTTCTCCGCCACGCAAACCAAGTCTGTGCGCGACTTGGCTCGCCTCTCCCTCTCCTCGCCCGAGTATCTCTCTGTGCACGCCGAGGCGAGGGAAGCGACGCCGTTGCGTCTGCAGCAGACGGTGATGGTCGTGGAAGCTTCTCAGAAGCTGGACGTGCTGTGGAGCTTCCTGAGGAACCACCTGCAGAAGAAAACGGTCGTTTTCCTCAGCAGCTGCAAGCAGGTGGGTGCAGGTGGGTGCAGGTGGGTGCGGGTGGGTGCGGGTGGGTGTGTGAAGCTTGTGCTTGGGACTGCTCTGCTTGGGACCTCGCCCGCCTCTCGCTCTCCTCCCCCGAGTGCCTCTCTCTTCATGCTGAAGCGAGGGAAGCGACTCCCCTTAGGCTGCAGCAGACGGTGATGGTCGGGGAAGCTTCCCAGAAGCTGGACGTGCTGTGGAGCTTCCTGAGGAACCATTTGCAAAAGAAAACGGTCGTGTTTCTCAGCAGCTGCAAGCAGGTGGGTGCGGTGCGGGTGGGTGCAAGCAGGTGGGTGTGGGTGGGTGCAAGCAGGTGAGGTGAAATCAGAGAGTTTTGAGGCGTGTCAGGAGGAACGATTCAAAAAACCACCTGCAGAAGAAAACTGCTGTGTTTCTGAGCAAGCAGGTGGGTGCGAATGGGTGCAAGAAGGTGAGCGCAGGTGCAAGCAGGAGCAGGTTTCTGTAGCTCTTTCCCCACCCCCTTTCCTGCCTCTCCACTCCCTCTTCCTGTTCTGGACCTTCTCCCTCAGGTGAATTTTGTACTCGAGGCCTTTCGAAGGCTGAGGCCCGGCATTGCATTGAAGCTGCTGCATGGCCGGATGAATCAAACGACCCGCCTGGCCTCCCACTCTCCCCCCCAACCCGCTCCATCCCCCCTGTCCCCCCGGTCCCCCCGATCCCCCCTTCCCCCCTTTCCCCCATTGAAATAGGTGAAATTCGTGTTTGAGGCTTTCCGTCAGTTAAGGCCCGGCATTGCCCTGAAGCTGCTGCACGAGCGCATGAAGCAGATGACCCGCCTGGTCTCCTCCTCCTCACCTCCCCTTTCCCCTTCCTTGTTCCTTCTTCCCCTTCTTCACCCTCCCTCCTCCTTCTCTCCTCCTCATTAAACCAGGTGAAATTCGTATTTGAAGCTTTCTGGAGGTGAAGACCCGGCACAGCACTGAAGCTGCTGCACGGGCGCATGAAGCAGATGACCCGCCTGGCATCTCTTTAATCCTACTTCTGCCCGCCTCCCCCCTGCCTGTACAACTTACGCAGGTGAAGTTTGTATTCGAGGCTTTCAGAAGGCTAAGGCCTGGCATTGCATTGAAGCTGCTGCACGGGCGGATGAAGCAGATGACCCGCCTTGCTTCCTTCTACGACTTCTGTGACTCTCTCCCCACCCCCCTATACCTCTTTCCCACTCCGCCTCCCCATTCCCTTCCCTCTGTCCCAGGTGAAGTTTGTGTTTGAGGCCTTCCGAAGGCTAAGACCTGGAATCGCTCTGAAGCTGCTGCATGGGCGGATGAAGCAGATGACCCGCCTCGCCTCCTTCCATGACTTTTGCGAGTCTGACCATGCAGTGCTGTTTGCCACGGATGTTGCTGCTAGGGGGCTCGACTTCCCTGCTGTCGACTGGGTCGTGCAGGTGAGGGAGTGTCTAGTTGACTTGGATTGACTTGCGTTGACTTGGGTTGAAGCAGGTGACCCGCCTGGCCTTCTTCTACAACTTCTGTGAATCAATCAGACCATGCCGTGCTGTATGTCTCTTCTTCTACAACTTCTGTGTATGCATTCTCTTTACTGTGTTCTCCATCGTTGACTTTCTTGACTTCACACTTCGCTTCACCACCACTACCCCGACTCCCAGGCGGACTGCCCTGATGACGTGGCGACATACATTCGCTGGTTGGGCTGCACAGCACAGGTTGACTTGGGTTGACTTTCTTGAATTCGCACTTAGCCCGACATCCCCATCCCTCCCCAACTTCAACCTCCAGGCGGATTGTTTGATGACATGGCGTCATACATTCACCAGGTCAGCTGCACAGCACAGGTTGCTTGGTTGGTTGATCCCGTGTTGACTTTGTTGACTCTCATTCACCTGTGGACTCTTGCTTCCACTCTTTCTTCACTTCACACTTTCTTGACCCAAACTTCCAGGCGGATTGTCCTGATGACGTGGCAACATACATCCACCGAGTCGGCCGCACGGCCAGGTTCAATGCATCTGGACGCTCGCTGCTGCTGCTCGCCCCCTCAGAGAAAGCCATGCTGCCGCTACTAGAGGCAGCCAAGATCCCATTCTCCCTCACCAAGGTGTGCGTCGCCTCTCCTTTCCAATCCCAAGGAGCGTCCACACATTGACACGCCTTTGCTGCTGCTCGCCCCCTCAGAGAAAGCCATGCTGCCACTGCTAGAGGCAGCCAAGATCCCATTCTCCCTGACCAAGGTGGGTCAGGTTCTACCTCTTGTTACCCGAGGTTGGGCCTGTATGGGCTAGTTGGGCTCTCTATGCTACTGGACGCTCGCTGCTGCTGCTCGCCCCCTCTGAGAAAGACTTTTGAGTCGACTCAGAAGTCACCTTGCTGCTGCTCACCCCCCCTTAGAAAGGCTTTTGAGTCTACTCAGAAGTCACCTTGCTGCTGCTCACCCCCTCTTAGAAAGGCTTTTGAGTCTACTCAGAAGTCACCTTGCTGCTGCTCACCCCCTCTTAGAAAGGCTTTTGAGTCTACTCAGAAGTCACCTTGCTGCTGCTCGCCCCCTCTGAGAAAGCCATGCTGCCACTACTAGAGGCCGCCAAGATCCCATTTCGCTCACCAAGGTGTGTGGGGGGTGGTTGCCACCGCATTGAACCGGCCTGCATTGTCCTCACTTTACTTGAGCTGAGTCCTCACTTCACTGCCTGCTGCTGCTGCTCACCCCTTCTGGGAAAGTCATGCTGCCGCCACTAGAGGCGGCCAAGATCCCATTTTCTCTCACCAATGTGCGTGCTGCATCTTACTTCCTGCCCGAAAGAGGGTTTTCCTTGCTGCCCCAGATAACACATCCCTACCACCTTAACCCACCCCACTGCACCGCATTCCACCCCAATCCACCCATCTCCGCAACAGGCCAATCCAGCCAAGATGCAGCCCATAGCCCAGGCGCTGGCAGCGCTACTCTCAAAGGACTCTGAGATCAAGTATCTGGCACAGCGGTCCCTTGTCACCTACTTAAGATCCGTGCACCTCCAGGTATGAATTTGATGTGCATGTGCGTGCACAAACGTGTATACATATATGCATGTATGCAGCGCTGCTGTACGAGGATTCTGAGATCAAGTACCTGGTGCATCGCTCCCTCGTTACCTACTTAAGATCCGTGCACCTCCAGGTATGATGACGTGTGGAGTGTGTATGCAGTACGTGTATATGTGTATAGAGTACGTGTATATGTGTATAGAGTACGTGTATATGTGTATGGGGTGTGTATGCAGTACGTGTATATGTGTATGTGCATGTATGCAGCGCTGCTTTCAAAGGATTCTGAGATCAAGTACCTGGCACAGCGCTCCCTCGTTACCAACCTGCGATCCGTGCACCTGCAGGTATGACGTGTGTATGGGGTGTGTATGCCGTTCGTGTGTATGGGGTGTGTATGCCGTTCGTGTGTATGGGGTGTGTATGCCGTTCGTGTGTATGTATCTATGTATGGAGCATGCATTTTTGCAACGCTTCTCTCTAAGGACTCGGAGAATAATTACCTACGCTGCATATACGCAACTCTCCCTTGTTGCCTACCTTGATTTGCGCCCTGCAGCTGCAGGTATCGTGTGTGTATGTGTACAGTGTACGGATATCCAGCACAGAACATATACAGTACATTACACACCTACACACATGCGTATACATGTTACAGATATACACTACATGCTTAAACATATGTGTGAACCTTCCCTCAATCTTTGTGTGAACCTTCCCTTCATCTTCCCCTTCCCTTCCCTTCAACCCCCCACCCCCATTCCCATTGTCCTCCCATCACACGACGTTCTTCCCCTGGGCAGAGCAACAAAGAAGTTTTCGACGTGACCAAGCTGCCCGTGGAAGAAATCGCGGCCTCCATGGGGCTGCCCAACCCGCCGAAACTTCGCTTCTTGAAAAAAACGAAGGGGACGGGGGAAAAAACAGGGGATGCACAAGGGGGGGCGAAAGGGGCAAAGGGGAAGGGGGAAGAGGGGAAAGTGGATGTAGGGGAGTGGAAGGGGCAGAAGATTCGATTTGGTGATGATGAGGCTAATGATGAGAGTGATGGCAGTGAGGAGGGGAGTGATGCTGAGAGTGAGGGAGGAAGTGAGGGAGGGAATGAGGGAGAGGAGGAAATGGAGGGAGGTGTAAGTGAGGGAGAGGAGGACACAGACGACGAGGGGGAGAGGGAGGAAGGGGAGGAATTGGAAGAGGGAGAGAGAAGGGAGGGTCGGAAAGAGGAGAAGAAGAAGAAAACGAAGCTGGAACGCTTGTTTGGAAGAACAAACAGAGGGGTGTTATCGGCCTCTTATGATAGGCTGAGAGCAACTGAAGAGGACGAGGAGGGTGAAGCAGGGGAAAGGGGTGGGGAGGAGGGGGAAGATGAGGAGGATGAGCTGCTACGGGTGAAGAGAGTGAATCATTTGTTGGATGGGGAGGAGAGGGAGGAGAGGGAGGAGGGGGAGGGAGGGGAGGGAGGGGAGGGAGGGGAGGAGAGACGGAGCGGGGTGGCGACCGCAGCAGAGGAGAAGCGGGTGCTTAGGTAAGTGCACAGGCAGTTGTTGTTTAAAGTGCTGGTTTTTTTTCTTTTAAAGCTCTGTATTGCAGCATATGGTGCTTTATCCTCTTGTAGTCTGGAGAGTTCTTTGGTAGAGAGACGACTTTTGAGGCGCCCCGAAAAGCATTTAGTGCTTGCGTCTGTTTCTAGTTGGTGTAGAGTTGAGCTTCAAAAAGATGAACCCATCTTCACACCACGCTGCTGCCCCCATGCCCCCCCTTTCCCCCTCCCTCCTCTGCCCCATTCACTCTGTTACTTCACTCACTCTGTTACTTCACTCTGTTACTTCACTCTGTTACTTCACTCACTCTGTTGCTTCCATTCCTTCAGCTCTTTGACTCTTTCCAGGAAGCAGCGCAAGAAGCTTCTCTCGGGCCCGGGCCGACATGGCGGCACGCGATTGGTCTTCGATGACGAGGGCAATCCGCTGCCGCCCCTCGCCGCCCTTGCCTTGGAAAAGGACAAAAACGGAGGGGCGGCGGCGGAGGGGGAGGATGGGGCTGGGAAGCGGTCGGTAGGGGAGGATGCTGAGCTGGCAGCTGCCGCCCGGGCAGCTGAGGAAAGGTTTCGGCAGCTGCGGGAGGAGATGCAGCAGAAGGATTTGGAGGACCGGGCAGCTGAAAAAGAGCGTCTGCGAATGAAAAAGCTCAAGGAGAAGTTGAAGGTGAAGAGACGGGCAGGAGAGGGGAGGGAGGAGGGGGAGGAGGGAGGGCGGGTGGTAATGATAGGCAGGGGGAGTGACGATGATGAAAGTGATGAGAGTGAGGAGGAAGGGCAGGATGAGGAAGAGGGGGATGAGGATGAGGAGGAAGTGAGGAGGGGGAGAGGCAAAGGAAAGAGGGGTGGTAGCAGTGGAAGTGACTATAACGAGGGTGAGAGTGAGGGTGAGGAAGAGGGGGGGTACAAAAAGGGTGGTGTGCAATGGAACGAAAGTGATAGTATGGAGGGTGCCAGTATGGATGAAGGGGAAAGGGAAGGGGAGTATGGTCTTGACTCCAGTGGAGATGAGGGAGTGGGAGGGAGGGAGAGAGAACGAGGAGGGAGAAGGGGAGAGAGAGGGGGAGAGAAGAGGGGTGGGAGAAGGGAAGAGAGAGAGGTAGGGGAGGAGGAGGTGCCTGAAGCAGTACCTCTGGAATGGAGAGCACAGGACCTTGCAAGGGCAAAGAAACAGCATACGGAGCAGCTTCAGATGGGCCGAGAGGGAGGAGCAACAGCAGGAGCAGTAACGGGGGAGAGGAGGGCAGGAAAGAGAGTGAAATCCGAGGGGCAAACAGCGGAGGGGCAAGCGATTGCGGGCAGGCCTGGCAAGAAGGCTAGGGTAGGCGGGTTGGAGGGTCAAGGGAATGCTGCAGGGAAGGTGGGAGGGAAGGCTGCTAGTGGTGAGGGTGTGGGGCTAGGGTTGGCAGAGCAAGAGGCTCTGGTGCTTCGACTGCTGGCTGCAAAGCGTCAGTAGTGACGCCTGAGTGACGCCTGAGTACTTGACTCAATGAGCTGGTCTCGGAATCTGGCTTCACAGATTTGCCAGCAAGAGGCATCTGAGTGATCTCTGGCTGCTGACTACCAAGCATATGTGAACTGAGTTATGAATTTGATGTGTTTTTTATTTGAGTGGTATGTGAGGGAGATGAGGATCTGCATAGTCCAAGATATCGTTGTTGTTGACAGTCTTCGTTTACATGGTATTAGAGGAAGAGGTTTCGGCTTTGCTGTGGGGCGTCATGCCCTTTTTTGTCAGAGCACTAACAACGGCTGAATGGGGAAAACAAGAGGATTAATACCGGTGTGCGAGATTCGAGATGCAGAGGAAACAGCTTAGACATGGTGCTGGAGTCAGGTTACTAGTTGGAAGGAAAATGGCTGGCAACTCAAACCTCGGCAACCAACCCAGCAGACATGGCCTAGTTTTGCCCAAGCCATGTGACCCAGGCAAACATCTGAGAACAAGCAGCCGTCCTAACGCATTATTTGAAGCAGACTCCACCCTGAAGCACTGTACTGTACTACACATCTCCTGCACCGTTGGCAGGAGCAGCTGCTGATGCCTTGAACTGGTTGTCCTCGGACTTTGGCTTGAAGAGGTAATCGCGGATGACAAGCACGATGTAGAAGAGGCCGAATGCGCTGATGGCAATCCCAATGATAATCAGGTAAGCCTGGAATGGAAGGTAAGAGAAAAAGATAAGATTTTAGTATGTGATTTGACCTATTGAAACGCCTCTTCTGAAGGAGCAAAGCACGATACTGGATGATAATTATGCATAACATCGTGTAAGACATCATGTGGGGGGAAGGGAGACAAAGGGGGGAGATGCAGGGTGGAGACACAGGTCACGCGATGTGGTACGAAGGATAAGGGGTGTAAGGAGGATTGATATGGTAATAATGTTACACGGTCTCACCTTCTGGTTTCCAGAGAACATTGTGGTGTAGCGGTCGAGGCCGAGAAACACGTTCACCCAACCCAGCACCACCGCGACAATCCCCACGAACCAGTGGCCGAAGCGCCAGAACACACGGTAACTGGAGTTTCGCGAAGGCTTCACGAACCCGCCAACGGGAAGAACCAGCACAATGATAAACATCGCCAGTCCCAGCTGCCCGTGAAGGTAATCCAATCCGCGAGTGCCACTGGTAACCAGAGCAATCACCGCGCCAGTGAAAACAAAAACAACGGCTACGATCTGCAGGATCATGTGCGCCTTGAACCACAGGGCCCGTCGCGCTTCGTCCTGTTCGGAAAGGCTCGCGGTCAGCCCAGCAGCCAAACCGTTCGCGTCACCGCTCGTGCTGTGCAACAGCGGGTCCGAAATGTGGTCCGCTGCGAGGAACATACGCGCTATTATGATGGCAGATGGCATCAGGATAGCGAACGCGAAAGTCATGAAAAAGCCGTGTGCGATAAACGACGCGGAATTTCCGTAGGTTGTGGTGGGAACTGGAGTGGTGGTAATTGTAGTTGTGCCATTGTTATATCCAACCCTCGCAGAACCCCTACAAGCATAAGAACCCGGGATATAATTAGGAAAGCAATCAAGAATAAGCAATTTGAAACAAGCTGCGTGAAGCAGGGTGAGCTAGAGAGTGATGAGAAAGAGTGAAGGGAAACAAAAGCAGGTGAGGTACCGTATGAAGAATAAAAGCATACCTGTTGGCACCGTGATACTTCAAATCATTCGAATTGGAGTCGGAGAAAGCCCAAATGACGTTGGCAGCAGCATCAAGGAAAAGGGGAACTTTGCCCGAAGCCAATTCCCTCTCGAATCTGCAAAATGTGACGAATTGATTGCACGGAAAGGCAGAAGAGGTTGCGGCAGAATCCGAGCACAACTGAACAGTAAATCACCATATGACCTAGCAATATGTTATAAAATAGTAAATCAGTAATCCGTCCAGCTTTGAAACGCTCACGCCGAAAATAGTCTATACAGACAGCTGAACTTACTCGACAATGGTCTTGCCGTCGCGAGTAGTCACGGCAGTCAACGACAGTCCGAGACGCGGGTTCGGCACAATGCTCGCCGCGCTCTTCGCGCCAATATAATAAGCGCCAATGTGCGCCGGGTTGCCGTTCGCAGTGTCAGTGATGGTGCCAGGTGGCAAATTGCCAATGGCTGCGTCGCTGCCGGCCATCTTGCCGTCCTTGGACCAGCCAAGGGCAACCCAGCCGGTGGTCGCGACTTCGGCGGCGTAAGCGACGGAGTTGATGCCGACGGTCCAGTGGAGGATGTAGCTGATTGTGATTGTATCGGGGGATGGGGTAAAGAGGGCACACAAGGGGGCGAACAGAAATATAATGAACGCACGTGGCAATGGCGCAGGCGGTGACTAGGCGATTCAGTACGCCTCAGAAGTGTCGATTTTCTTCGATACTTCAATGTACGCAGGACAGACGGGGCGTGGATTGTTAAAGTTAGTTTCAAGGCGCGCGAAATTCTACAGGCATTCCATACCTGTCCTGACTTCTAGCCTCTTCGAAGTAATATCGTTATAAAACCCTCGTTTGTCGTTCCATAAGCGAAACACTTACTCTTTGCCCTTGAGTTCAGCGGAGCAGCTGTAACTCGGAAGCGAAGACTTCGTGCATTGCGACGAACCCAGCTGCGACCGAGGTTGGCCTTCGCCAAACTCGTCGTTCACGACGGGTTCGCCAATCGCCCACGCGTCGTCCATCTCGTGCATCGGCTCCCCGTCGCCGAAGGAGTCGCCGGCGAGGCCTTCGTCGAATCCCCACATCTCGTCGGTCTGATGAACTGGTGCACCTTCGCCAAAGGAGTTACCAGAGCTTTCGCCGAAGTCCCAAGACTCGTCGGTTTCGTGCACAGGCTCGCCTTCTCCAAATGCGTCGGACGACGACTCGCCGAACTCCCAGGATTCGTCGGTTTCGTGAACGGGTTCACCTTCGCCAAACTCGTCCGCTGCTTGGAGAGTCGTCACTTCCCAGTCCCATGATTCGTCAATTTCGTGAACGGGCTCGCCTTCGCCGAACTCGTCAGTCGGCTTCGAAGTTACAGGTTCCCAATCCCATGACTGGTCATATGGACTTTGGCGCCTGTTTTTGCCTGGAGCCTTCTGGGCGTGAGCGAGAGCAAGTAGCCCAAGGAAGGCGAGAAGGGCGATGGAACGGGGCGCCATACTCGCGACCTCCGAGAAACAAGAGGAAACCTAGTGATGTGCACGCCCTCTCTGTTCGCTAATTTCACGCCCAAAATCGCACGGACGATTGTGCTCCTCCAACGTCAACTTACGCGACAATCCTCTTCTCTAATGCCAGTCGTCTCAACTATATACCAACCCACAGGAGCGGCCCCACTGTTGGCGATTACATTGGACTGGTTTAGCCTGACCATATTGGCTCTATGAAGGTGCTTTGTGGTGACGATTTCGAGTGGAGAGGCGAGGCGAGCCGAGGAGGATTGTTGCTGGGGTGAAGTGCTGGAAATGGGGCCGCAATGCAGATGCGCGCAATTTCTTTTCCAAATCCATGATGACGAGGCGCGCACATTGCCACCACTCGTTTGAGATGCGTCTCGGCTAGGCCTCCACAAATCATCCCATCTGGCACGTGGCACAGGTTCACCCAGCTTTGGTACCGTATCTCGGTCTGGTAGAGGTTTGGACCAGTTGTTCAACGGGCAGTTACTAAAGGAACAAAATTACTGAATTTCCGCTACGCAGCCATTTTCTAACAATCTACTTGACCAATCGGTTGGTCAATATTGCACTACGGGCAGTTAATATGGGCAGTAAGCACTTCGACTGCCGAGCACTAGCCCATCTGAAGCAGACCTGAAATGTGGGCAGGAATAAGAGGCCGCTTCTCAGGGTCAGATTCAACGAGTCGCGATAACACAGTCTGGGAATGAGGGGGGATGCAATTGTACACGAACTTCGATGTACCTCGATACAGAGAGGTCATGCATAAGGCAAAGAAACCTTGGCCATCACTCTCGCTCGAAAAAATCCACTACATTTCACTTGGTTACATTCAGATAACCAACTTTGTTGTCTTCTTGCAAGGCTTTTTTCCTCACTATATTTGACAGTTATCATTTATTTAAAACAAAATGTCGCAGCACATAAGGACCACCTGCATGACCAGTTGCCAAGGCGGCAACCAAACAATTCACAAAATGCCGAAGCCACTGGTGGCAACGAGTGCACTGTGTGCAAACCATATCGACTCACTTCCTACCATCTCCATGAGCTGTGACACTCAACCTTTACCTCAGCACCCAAACTAAGGTCCCAATAATCCCTACAAAAAAAATAAAAAATAAAAAAGATGGAACATGCTTCACCCCCACCTCTGCACCACCACCAGCTCCCAGCACACTTATTCCCTTAGTCCTGGCACGCGAGTGTACCCAACTCGTTTTTTTCATAGCAATAAAACCGGATCGACAACCCGTCCCCGTGGCAACTACACCCAACTCCACGCGTGTGGCTTCCAACTCTAATGCCTGCGATCGCGGCGGCCGTGGTCATCATCCCCCCTAACCCTGATGCCAACGGCGATGGCGCCTGCGATCGCGCCGATCGTGTCATCATCTCCCCCTCCGTTGCCCCCACCAGTAGCAGCAGTCTTCTTGTGTGGGCTCTAGCCCTGATGCCAACGGCGATGGCGCCTGCGATCGCGCCGATCGTTGTCATCATCGTCATCATCATCATCATCGTCGTCGTCGTCGTCGTCGTCGTCATCATCATCACCCCCTCCTTTGCCCCCACCAGTGGCTGCAGTCCTGCAGGAGAAATCCACCGTGATCCTCCCACTAGAGCAGGAAAGGGAGAAGAAGAAGAACAAGAAGATAAAGAGAAGAGAAGGAAGGAAAAGAAGGAAAAAAAAAAAGATTTTAGCGAGGAAAAACAGGATAGACATAATCACGAGAGTCGTCTTCGTTGTCGTCATCACTGTGCCATGCTACCATCATAAGTACCCCTTATAAGAACCATCCATACCATGAGCAACCTTACAACACTCACTTTCCAATGCCATGAGGGGGAATAGCACACATAAGGCTAATTCCTTTCCATGCTGCCACCATTATACATACCCCCTAAAAGGAACAATAATTCCTCCCTCCAGGGAAGCAGACTTACCCCCGTACGAAACCATGCATATGACACTTACAAGCAACCATACATACCCCCTATACGCAACCCTGCATTACTTACAATGCGCCACTCACAATGGAAGCCCAGGCTCTTAGAACCCAAGAACGAGTAGATGAGGTGTAGTTGTTCCAGGCTCTTAGACATCCCCCCTACAAGCCATCATACGTGTACCCTAATAACCAATCTTATAACACTCACTATGAGGAGTTAACATTTGGGAATTCTCAAAAGAGTTTACTTTTCAGAATTTTCAGAAGTTAACTACGTCTGCCCATGCTCTTGGAGCCTGAGAGGGAGTAGGCCCACATGAGGATGTTTTTGTTACACACCAGAACCATTCATACCCCTTATAAGCAACGATACATACTCCTTACAAAAAACTTTGATATACTCACTATGCGCCACCGTGGTAGCCCATGCTCTTGGATTGGAACCCGAGGGGGAGTAGGCCCACAGCAGCGTGTTCTTGTTCCAAACCACCAGCAATCATACGTACTCCCTATAAGCAACCTCGATACTCACTATGCGCCGCCGTGGTAGCCCATGCTCTTGGAACCCGAGGGGGAGTAGGCCCACAGCAGCGTGTTCTTGTTCCAAGCCACCAGCAATCATACGTACTCCCTATAAGCAACCTCGACACTCACTATGCACCGCCGTGGTAGCCCATGCTCTTGGAACCCGAGGGGGAGTAGGCCCACAGCAGAGTGTTCTTGTTCCATGCCAGAAAGCGAGACACCGACCCCGTGTAGTGCTTGCGCGAGAACCTGAGAGAGTGGGGATGAAGGGAGATAAAAGGTGGAGAGAGGTGGGGAACGGTTGGCAGAGGTGAATGGGAAGAGAGGTAGGTAGGCTCATATGAGGGTGTTCTTGTTCCAAGCCAGAAAGAGAGACACTGATCCTGTGTAGTGCTTGCGCGAGAGCCTGAGAGATTGGGGATAAAGGGAGATCCTGTTTTTGAGTCGACTCAAAAACGACTCAAAAACTCGACTCAAAAACAGTTTCGAGTTGACTCAAAAACAGACCCCGTGTAGTGCTTGCGCGAGAACCTGAGAGAGTGGGGATGAAGGGAGATGACAGGTGGATAGAGGTGGGGAATGGTTGGCAGAGGTGAATGGGAAGAGAGGTAGGTAGGCCCACGTGAGGGTGTTTCTGTTCCAAGCCAGAAAGCGAGACACTGATCCTGTGTAGTGCTTGCGCGAGAGCCTGAGTGAGTGGGGAAATAAACAGACGAACGGTGGAAAGAGGTGGTGAGTGATTGAGTGCGGTGGATAGGAGGGGAAGTAGGCCCCTATGAGGGTGTTTCTGTTGAGGGTGTTTCTGTAGAGGGAGGGAGGGAGGGAGGGAGGGAGGGAGGGAGGGAGAAAGGGAGGGGGGGGGGAGGGAGGGAGGGAGGGGGAGGGAGGGAGGGAGGGCACGTCTAGTAAAAAACCTCCCCCACTCCCATAGTCAATTTTCCAGGCGCCTCAAAAAACACTCCCAATCAACCCACCTCACACTCCCCCACGTTCCCTCACACCCCCCCACTCTCCCCCACCCCACACTCCTCCACCCACTCACTTGACCATAGTCGAGCCAGTCAAAGAAGTGACCGTCGCAGGGTAACGTTTGGGCCGCCTCAACAGCCCTCAGACCCCCCCACCCTCCTCCACTCTCCCCCACTCTCCCCCACACTCCTCCGCCCACTCACTTGACCACAGTCGATCCAGTCGAAGAAGTAACCGTTGCAGGGGTCTGCCCAATCCAAAACGAGGCGGGTTGTATCGAGGATACAGTGTACCCATTAATATAGTACGCGCCCACTTTGCCGCCCGCTAGATTCCCGAAAACAGCGTCGGCAGGAGCCATCTTGTTATTGGCAGTCCAGGCAAGAGAAATCCACCCGTTCTTGGCTGCTCCTGACTTGGCTTCTACTGCCATTGTGAGAGCGCCGTTGGCACGTGCCTTGTTCCAATGCAGGAGCAGACTGCACGGTGGGGAAGGGAGGATGTGGGGCAGGGGAAGGGGAGGTTGAAGGAAACCCATCCGTGCTTGGCTGCTCCTGCCTTGGCTTCTACTGCCATTGTGAGAGCGCCGTTGGCCCGCGCCGCCGTGTTCCAATGCAGGAGAAGGCTGGGATGGGAGAGGGGGGGTAGGAGGGCAAGGGGAGAGGTGGGTAGCAAGTGGAATGGTGAGTGTTGCGGTTGGCAGTTTAGGCGCCTTGCTTCCTTCCCATGCCGAAAACAGCATCAGCAGGAGCCATCTTGCCGTTGGCACTCCAAGCGAGAGAACCCATCCGGTCTTGTCTGCTCCTGAATTGGCTTCTACTGCCATCGTGACAGCGCCGTTGCTGCGCGCGTTGTTCCAGTATAGGAGCAGACTGTATGGAGGACAGGGCGTTCAACACACAGTAAAGAATGTGAGAATAGAAGGAAACACACAACAAGTTAGAACGACCGATACAGTTAAAAAGGAGACAGCTGAACAGGCACAGGAAAGCATCATCACCGCTTCACACATCTCCCCACTGCTTCACACACCTGACCCTTTTCAGCTGGATTAGGTAGGTGTAGCATAGAGTTGATTTTTGAGGCGCCTAAAAAATGTAGCATATCCCTTCCACTGCAGACCACACCTTCCCACACCTTCATACGCCTCCCAACCCTTAAACAAACCCTCTCCACCCCTTCACACACCTGTTACCGTTCAGGTTCGTTTGGTACGAGTATCCAGTCAGCGTCGACTTGGCGCAGGCGTTACCCGTCCCCGAACCTGACCCCGAGCCTGATCCCGAGCCTGACCCCGAACCTGATGACGTGGAGGAGCAGGAGAAATCAACGGTGGTCCTTCCGCTGTGAGGTGGAGAGGGCAGGGGAAGGGGGGGTGGGAGGGGGAGGGGGAGGGGGAGGGGGAGGGGGAGGGGGAGGGGGAGGGGGAGGGGGAGGGGGAGGGAGTGGGGGGAGGGGGAGAGGTAGGAGAAGGGAAAGTGGGAGGGGTATGGAAAGGGCAGAGGGGGAGTGGGAGGGGAAGAGGAGAAGGCCCAGATGAGCTTGTTGGAGCCAGTCGGGTTGGGCACTCACGCTGCAACCCACTGCTGCAGTCATGCCTACTACCTACCTAGATAGACAAGAGACATGACTAGATAAGACCGCTCCAGAAGGAACAGCGGCTGTGCCCCATCCGTGCGAGTAGAGAGGCAGGCAGGGGGAGGGAGGGAGCGAGGGAACTCACTATTTGCCGCCGTGGTAAGCTAAGGTTTTGGAGCCAGAAGAGGAGAAGGCCCAGATGAGCTTGTTGGAGCCGGTCGGGTTGACGCTCACGCTCCCGTCTGACGTGGACCGAGTGAAGCTGCGCGGAAGGTTCGGTGGAGAGAGGAGGGAAATGGGCGGCGGAGGGAGCAGGGAGGGTTGGGGGCGGATGGGAAGGAGGGTAGGAAAGGAAAGCATAAGTCGAGAGTAGAGGGAAGGGAATAGAGGACGGTTTGTTGAGCTGACGCGAAACAGGTGAGAGAGTGAGTGCGAAGGAAACGGCACAGCTCAATCGTTAGGTCATTTCTTGAAACGATGTGAAATCACATTGTTTTCAAGTTTACAAGCATATTATTACGAGTGGGATACTAAGCGCGCGCCAGTAATCATTTGCCGTTGGCGATCCATTGCGTACGTCATTATTGTCTTCTCTGACGTGGTGGTTAGCCCCGGCGCGTAGATCGTGAACTTGGAGGTACGCGCCACGTCGGATAGATCGTATCCCGAGATATGATACGCGTACACCCCCGTGCCGCCCATGTTCCCGATCACCGCGTCGGCGGGCGACATATCACCGTCCGATGAGAATCCGACGGACATCCAGCCTTTGGCGGCGTTCGAGCCGCCGTCCGCCTCCAGAGCGAATTTTACCTTCGCGCCGCCAGCGGGCACTGTCCAATGTAGAGTGAGACTATAACGGGGATGGATGGGGGGATGGAGAAGAGGGGACCGGGTGGTGGTTGAGCGAAACGACGACGTAGGTTAGACGAACGGGAAGGGCGGTAGTGCGGCATCGACTTGGAGAAACGTTTCAGGTACACATGATTGAGCAGGCAAAGAGGGAAGAAAAGAAAACAAGGTGAATGGCGGCAGCACCGAGTACAGCATTAAGATGACGTTTCCAAGAATGGTGGCATTTCCACAAATAGAAAACGCCATTCTGCAGCGCCTTGGAGGATTCAGCACGTTTTGCACTCACGCGCTTCCGAGGCTGACTGATGACGTGTATCCGGCAAGAGAAGACGCGGTACAAGACGAGGATGACGAGCCGCCATCATCGTCATCGTCATCATCGCCATCCCCCTTAAAGACGCCTTTAGCCCAGTCGACTATTCCTTGAAACAAATCTCCCCACGTGAGCTGCGCCGCGACTGTCGGGAGGAGAATCAGGAGAAGCAGGATTGGGAGCGCCAGGAACGCGACGGATCTGCGCGAGCTGCGCTTGCGGCGAGCGCATCCGCCCGAGCGGCGACGCGTGTCCGCGCGGGGTTCGGTGGCGGCGACGGCGGCGAGCACGCCGCGCGCACTTCGGCAGGTCATCGGAATAGCGCGTGGAAGGATAGACTCGTCGGGAAAAGAAATGTAAGATTTCCGAATAGAAGCAACTTCAACCTCGGTCTTGATTACAGGTGGCCTTCGGTGTCGTTAGCTTTGACCGCTTCCGGCCGTCCGATCTGAACTGGTCGAGCCGTTGAAGAGAACTCGCGACTCCACTGAAACGTTATTGGGAAGAGCGAGTCAGGCAGCACGAAGGGATATAAGCTTCTCAGATCATAAGAGAAAGTACAAGTGGGTGTGCGTGTGGAAACCAGGCGTTGCTGTGCTGGTTTGGAGCCATGCAAGTGAAATACTCGAGTGGAGGTCAACACGAGGGGGGGAGAGGGGCGGAAAGGGGAGTGGAAAGGGTTTGGGAGAGGCAAAAGTGGAGAGGAAGCGCGCGAAAAAGAAAAACCTGTGTGCGCAACGCGTGGGAGACACTGGTGGGTGCGGGGGGGGGGGGGGGGAAGGGGACGGGAATCCGCCTGTCAGCATGCCCCCCGACTCCCGCTTCCCCCCATGTAAAGGGTTTGGCCTGGGGGAAGTGTGGTTTGATGCTGGGCGCGGGGCGGTGGATGTATGGGTGGTTGGGGGTGCAGGGGGAACAGGGGTCATGGAGGAGGTTGGAAATGGGGCACCAAGCTTGACATTTTCGGTTCTCCCATTGGCCAGAACGGAAGGATACGCGGAAGCGATTGCGACAAGGTGGTTTGAGAAAAGGACAGGCGCGACACGGCAGATGCACCTGGATGGAAAAATGGACACTGCTGGGCAAATGGACCTTCGATTTGCAGCGGTGGCGCGCCGCGCCGGAACTTCTCCCCAGACCTTGGTGCCCAGGGTAGCACTTGATTTAGCGCCTTCAGGCTTGGGGGTCGGTTCGTTCATGGAGGCTTGGTACCCAGCCAAACACCAAGCTCTCTCACGCGCGGTGCTCCGCTGTTCAATTGAACCAGCGCTTCAAGGTTCGGAAATGACACCCTGCATAAGTTGGTGATTTGCAATTGGTGATTCGGCCATTATCTCCGATACTCAAATTATGCCCGGAGCGTTTTTCGTTCATACTCAACCTGTATTCAAATTGGCATTGCTGGTGCATAAAGCGAAGAAGTGTACCACCACTTCTGTGAGTATTTCTCGTCACGGGCAATGGCATGGAATACGTTCTCCGAGCGTGCGCCGCCTTCCAACCAAACCACGTCCTGATCTGAAGGCCGAAGGTGGGATGGATGTACGGTTTAGCCTGCTTGCGTACCAAGCCCTCGACATTGAGTTATGGACTATGGTGCACTGATCGACCAGCAAACTGATCTATATCTCAACAGTGATAGTGTACCCATAAAGAAACTTAGAGTTTAATGGTTTTGAATATTTTTCATCCCAAAATATTCCTTTGAAACTGATTTGAAATTGATATCCACTGATAATACTTTGTTGAGTTAACACCAGCATATGACTGTGTATGAGGACATAGGAAGTTTTTTTTTAGTTGATGAATCCGATCATTCACTATCGGATGTAAGTGAAATCAGTTCTTGTTATCCACACTTCACTTCGTTGTGACCGACCTCCCTTGTCCCAACCCAAATTGTTCCGAGACACTCTTTTTCTGTGTTCGCCACGCACTATTTCGCATGGGAATATTGTTGACCGCTGGAGCAAAACCCCTCTCCGCTCCAGCCTCGTCTTGGCTCGTGGAAATCTCGTGGTCGGTGTGCACCATTTCCCCTCCTGCTGGGCCAGCCCTGTCATTGCCATTGAACCAACTGCCGTGTGATTGGTGACCGCGACATCCAATAGTTGAGCCAGCACCGACGTAACCAAACAACAGCCAGAAACACTGGTGGTGCCTCCGCCATGCCCTCCCCCCGCCAAACCCACGGAAACACCATCCGCAAGTGTCATTCCGCGTTGGAACATGGTGCAGTTTTTCAACGTTTTCGTCAGCCCTCTCTTGAGAATAACATCGTGTACTGCTCATAATTTTGCTTCTAAAACCCTGAAAATGTAGTTGATACCATAGAAAACGCAGTTTGAGTATTCACGAAACCGATATTTCTTCCTTCTTCATGCCCACAGCCGACAGCCCGTGCTTTTTCCCTGGCTTCCTTGGCAAGCCAGGTTTGAAATGAATGGATGGGAACGGAACTGCGTGACACGCGCCATCTTACATTCTGCGCCACCGACACCATTCCCCAATCGCGTCGCGTCGCGCCCAAATTCCATTTCTGTTCTCCCTCTCCCACCCCCCCGACATCCCCCTTTCTTCCCTGCTCTCCCCGACTTCCTCTTCCCCCCTCACCACTCTATCGCCCCTCTCCCGCATCAGTTCTCCCTTCTCCTCCCATTCTTCCCCGTTCCCGCACATACCGCTTCCGAGTGAGTATCCTGCGAGTAGAAAAGGAAGCTGAATCAGGTTTAATTCTTATTCCCGCTTCAACACCTGGCAGGTGCTTGAAGCGAACCGAGCACGAGAGAGAGTCAGTCAGAGCGGAGCGATAGTCCACCGCCAGTCATCAGCCATCCATCCATCCGTACACATCGCCATTTCCGCGCGTGTTCCTCAGCCATTAATCTTCTTGCTACGCATCGCCCGCGTCGCATTTCGCCGTCAGCTTTTACTTGTTACGCAATTTATCAACAATGGCTCCGCATTTTCCGCGACGCTGCTCGCATCCGTCAAGAAGGTCCACTTATCGCCCGCTCGCAACTCGCTTGCTCCCCCTCTTAGCGCTGCTTTTTGCCGCGCTGATTCTGCCGCGAAATGCGCTGGCGGCGCAACCAGCGGGCTCAGGCTGGGGATGGAATGTTGCGTCCGCCGTGTCGCAGCTTTTCTCGTCGTTGCGCGCGGGAATTCAAACCGCGCAGCCTACGACGACGTTTGCTACTAGAAGCGTCAAACCCGCTGCGACTGGCACGTGCGACCCGTCGTCGCTTTCGGGTTACACGTCGTCGATCGCGCTCGCGAGCGGGTAAGAGCGTCGTGATGCGTATGCCGTGAATCGCGGCGCTTGCACACGAGGTTAAGAGAGTCAATCACTGTTCGATTCAATTCGGCGAAGCTCTGCTTACATTGGCCTCGCGGATCCGCCTGCATTGGCCGGCGCTAAACAGCCGAGCTTACTTTAGAGTCGCCCGCGATAACTTGGCCTTTAAAGTCTCTCCCTGTCCCCTTCCCACCCGCCCACACGCTCCCCCGAATCTCCCCCTAATCTCTCCCCAGTCTCCGCCTGCATTGGGCGGTAACCGCCACGACGACGATCCAGCTGGCAGTCGAGGCGACTCGCAAGCTTGAATTGGTCCTAAGTCTCCCCCTGTCCCCTTTCCCCCCGCCCACGCGCTCCCCCAATCTCCCCCAGTCTCCGCCTGCACTGGGCGGTAACCGCCACGTCGACGATCCAGCTGGCCGTCGAGGCGACGCGAGCGAGCGGCGCGGGGACGGGGTGGTTCGCCGTGGGGTGGACGGCGACGAGCGGCGCGATGGCGCCGGCAGATGCGGTGATGTGCAACATCGCGACGACGCCGGCGATTAAAGCGTACAGAATCACGGGGTACGCGGCGAGCCAAGTCGCGGCGACGAGCGCGTTCACTCCGGGGAGCGTCACCTTAACTGCTGGAACGACGACAACCATCGCCAAGTGAGCATACGCGTTCCTTCGCAATCCTTCGCTTTCCTTCGCATGCCTTCACATTCCTTCGCATTCCTTCGCTTTCCTTCGCATTCCTTCGCTTCACTTCGCATTCCTTCTCTTTCCTGCGCATTTCTTCGCTTTCCTTCACATTCCTTCGCCGCCCTTTGTATTCCTTTGCCAAATAAGGGGCCCCTTATCCAGCGCTTCTTTCCCCCTTACCCTCCCCTCTTTTCCCTCTCTCCCCTATTTCCCCTCTCACTCTCCCCTCTTTCCCCTCACACTTTCCCCTCCTTCCCATCATTCACATCGTGCTCCTCTTTTTGAGTCGACTCAAAAACAGGCTCCCCTCTCTCCCTCCTCCTCTCTCCTTTCCCCTTCTTTCCTCCTCCTCTCACCCGGCCTGCAGGTGACGAATCGGCTGACAGCTGTAGCTGTAAACGTGTCAGAGATCAACTCTCTCATCTGGGCCTACGCCGCCAGTGTCCTTTTGAGGCGCCTCAAAACTCGTCGCTTATCCCGCAGTTTTTGAGGCGCCTCAAAAGTCGTCGCTTATCCCTCAAAAGTCGTCGCTTATCCCTCAAAAGTCGTCGCTTATCCCTCAAAAGTCGTCAAAAGCAGTTTTTGAGGCGCCTCAGAAGTGTCCTGGTACCCACTTTCCCCCGCCTTCTCCCCGCCTTCTTCCGTTCCCCCCCCCCCCCCTCTCTCTCCCCCCACCAGGTTCACCCAGTCAACGGATGACAGCTCGGCTGTTGCTGTTGCTGTGGCTGTGGCTGTGGCTGTGGCTGTGGCTGTGGCTGTGGCTGTGGCTGTGGCTGTCCCGAGAGTACTGACTTGTCTCCCCGCCCCCCTCTTCCCCCCACCTCTCCCCCATCAGGTTCACCCGGTCGACGGGCGACGGCTCAGAGTCGATGTGGACGTGGCGGGAGTCAACTCTCTCATCTGGGCCTTCTCTCTCCGACTCTCCCCAACCCTCTTTCCTCCCACAGGTTCACCCGGTCGACAGGCGACGGCTCAGCAGTCGCTGTGGACGTGGCAGGTGTTAATTCGCTCATCTGGGCCTTCTCCGCCAGTGGCTCTAAGACAGTCGCCTACCACAACGCCCACTTGTGAGTTGGTAGGGGTAGTTGAGAGCGTTGTGAACACTGCGAGCACGTGTTAGTAGTGCCTGCAGGTGAAGTTTTGCTGCTGCAGGCGCCAACTCTCCAATCTGGGCCTTCTCTGCTAGTGGCTCTAAGACAGTCGCCTACCACTTGTGAGTGCTGAGAACACCAGCAGGACGTCATTTTACGTGTCATTTGACGTCATGTTACGTGTCATTTGACGTCATTTTTCTCGGTGCTGACGTGGATTTCTATCCTGCGTTCCTCTGCTGACGTGGATTTCTACCCTACTGTTCCTCAGTGGCTGATGTGGCATGCATGCATATGTCATCCCCCACCCGCCCAGCCACCTATGGGATAAAAGTTGACACCCTAGGGCCTTCCCACCTTCTCAAGTCTTCTCCCCCCTTTTTCCCCTTGTCTTCCCTTCCCCCTTTTCCCTTCCCTTCCCCCTTTTCCCCCGATCCCGCCCTTCCCCCTTCCCCTCCACTCCCCCAATCGCAGTGGCAGTGCTGACGTGGACTTCTCCTGTGACGCCTCTGCTTCCGCCACCCCTGCGCCGCCCCCTCCCTCCACCACCCCGCCCCCTCCGCCCACCCCCCCGCCCCTCCCCCTCCGCCGTCCTCTTCTGGGGGAGGCTCCAACTGCCCTGCGTCCACCCTCCCCGGCTACACCTACAAGACTCAGCTCAAGGGAAGCACGTGAGTCCTCCCTTCTCCCTCATTTGCTTGTTAATATGTTCCCCTCTCCAACTCGTCAATCGTGAGGGAAGCATGTTCGATCTTTCTTGGAGCATTCCCCACCCCACACCACAGCTTGCTTCACCATTGCTTCTCGTCATTTGCTGTTCCACTGGAAAGCACCACCTTCTGTCTCCTCCGCAGCTCGGTCTAGCCACCTCCGCCAAGACTGGCTGAATCCTGCGCCCCTCTCTTTGTCTGCATTCCTTCTCTTCCCCCCACTCCTTCAGCCTGCTCCTCCACTGGAAAGCAGGTTCTGCCTCGCAGCTCGATCTGGCCATCGAAGCCACAGCCGCCCCAGCCAAGTCCGGCTGGATTTCCCTCGCATGGGCCAAGGGCGGCAAGATGGCTCCTTCTGACGCCGTCTTTGGCAACATGGCGGGCGGCGGAGTGGCAGCGTATAAGATCGGTGGATACTCCATGGGGTCGATTCAACGCACGACTGCCTTCGCCATTGGGACTGCCAACACCACCACCACTGCTTCTGGTTCTACTGTGATCAAGTCAGTCCATCTTGTTTCCATATTTTGTTTTTACTTCTCTCTCTCTCTCTCTCTCTCTCTCTCTCTCTCTCTCTCTCTCTCTCTCTCTCTCTCTCTCTCTCTCTCTCTCTCCTCTTTTTACTGCTTCAAGCAAGGAAACTGCTTGCCTTTTGTACACTGCACACTGCGCATCTCCCACGCGAACTGAATCTTCTCCCCTTCAACTGCTTTCATGCCCATCCCTCCTTCTGCCCATCCCGCCTCCCCTGATCATCCCTCCCTCTCCCATTCAGGTTCTCCCGAACCCAAGGCACAGGTTCGGCAGCAAAGGTGCAAGTGGCAGGGAGCAACAGCCTTCTCTGGGCCTACTCCCCCTCCGGCTCTGAGAGCCTCGGCTTCCACGGCGGTGCATAGTAAGTGTACTAGCTTGCTTACAATAAGTAGTGATGAGTTGCTTATAGGGGGTATGTATGTCAGGAGGGGGCAGCGAGCACAGTTTCTGTCAGGCGCCAACAGCCTGCATTTCCACGTTGGTGCATCATGAGTGTTGTGAGATACTCCTTAATGAGTGATGGCTTATAGTTACTGATGGCTTAGCGAGATGCACGATGTTATGCTATGAGTGCCCTCGGCACCACCTTTTTCATCCCTTCTCTATCCTTCTCTAGCGTTCCGTATCCTCCTCTACCCTTCTCTAACCCTCTGTTTCCTTCTCCTTCTCTTCCCCTGCACCCTCCTCCGATTTAACCTTATGTTTCACAGTGGTCGCATTACTGTGGACTTCTCTTGCAAGACTGCATCGTCTGGAGGGGGGAGCAGTGGCGGGGGGAAGGGTCATGATGACGACGACAACGACGACGACGACGATGATAACAAGAAGGGTGGTGACCACAGTGACAAGGGCAAGGGGCGAGGCAATGGCAAAGGGCGAGGCAATGGCAATGGACGAGGCAACGGAAAGGGCCGAAGCAAGGGCAAGAGCCAGAAGCATTCACGTGGTGCTTAGGATAATGCGAAGGAACGGGAGCATCGGAAGAGGCACTTCGATGAGACGGGACTCTAGTGTGGTACTTCAATCCGGCCATGAGTTCCTGGAAGTGCTGATTTTAGATGAGGGGGTATCATGGGGGTTGATCGATGTTGCAACCACTCGAGGGGATCCAGGTGCTGGTTATTGGGTCCGCTGGTGGTGAGGACGAGTTGTCATAGGGTGATTCTTAACCACCCTCAGTGGCGTTTGACTGCTGCAGATGGTGTTTAAGAATCGTCTTATGAGTTTGCTGCTGAATGAAATGCAAGTTATTTACCTGGTTAGACAACGATAATGGTTGTGGACAGCTGTATATCAAACCACAGCAAGGTGCACAAGCCAAAAATACAAGGGTGTTGATGTGAGAAACCGAAGCGTACTCCATAGCGAAGCACGTGGAGTGAGTCATCAGTCTTCCGTGCAGTAATCGTGTGTAGATTCAGTCCAGCCACGTGCTCGCCTTCTTATCCGCTGGAATACAGTAGACAGCTGGCTTGAACGGGTGCAATTCGAGGGAGTCCCACCCACTGCTCGCACTGTTCGATGCGCGTTCATGTCTGGCGTTAGGAAGGAAGGGAGAGGGCACGCGCTCGCCACATGGTCGGTGGTTGGTTGGTTGAACCTTTCCTTTCTTCCAATAGGCATCAACCCACCCAGCTCGGATATCACGTGTACAGCTGTACTTAGCGATTTAGAACGTTGTTTTCACGGTTCATATCGGTGAAGCGCAGTTTCCGCTTTCACCGTAAGGAACCATCCGGAGCCACTAAGAGTGAGGGCGTATTCCTGGCTTTGAGACATCCGAGCTTTGGGACATCTCGAATTATTTTTTCAAGCCGCGGGACCTCCGACTCGAGCTTCGGTCATCCGCTTAGGGAGTTGGCTAGTTGCAGCGAACACGGTAGACGAAACTATTTTCTCCCCTTAACTTTTTCGCGTAGCTGGAGTGCGACCATTCTGAAGCTGCGACTAATTTCACACCCAAATTGATGTGCAACATTGCACATTTCAGCCTCGTCCGAAATCGGAATTGCTCGCCAGTTAGCTCTGGCGATCGCAACTTACAACGACGAGAGCTGCGATTTCGGGTAGCCCGTTAAAAAAAGGTATAGTAAAATCGTGAACAAAGTCGGGTCGTTGACCCGAGGTGCTGTATTGCAGCTCGGGACTTCCCAAGATTTGGGAAGACTCAAACACCGGATGTCCCAAAGCCAGGAATCCGCCCTGAGTCGAGCTGACCTGACTGCTGCGACGAGCAGCACCGTCGCAGTCATTCGCGACAACGCGTCATGCAGAGTCGCACTCTTTCGTTCCGTCATTTTTTTAGTCGGTTGGTCGTGAGCCATTTTCCGTCGGTCGCGAACCAATTTTCTGTTGGTCGCTAGCCATTTTACGTCAGTTGGTTTTCCCTGTCGGTAGTTACCGCAGTCTTCTTAGTACGGTGGTACAACTTACCGCAACCACTTAGTGCGTCCAATCCATCCAACGCTCCATTCCGTCCGTTTGATCGCCGCTCGTCCCCTCCAATCGTGCCGCTCCGTCCCCCCCGATCAAACCGCTCCGTCTTTCCCAAATCAATTCGCTCCGTCCCTTCCAATCGTGTCCCGTCGTCTCTTCCGACGAATCAAACAGCTCCGTCTCTTCCGACCGAACCGCTCCGTCTGCGAGTCACGGCCGCCACCAGCATTGCTCTCGTGCAGCTCTCGTGCAGACAGCTCTGATGATGGCTGCGTCAGCGACGAATCTCCCTCCGCGACTCGCCTTAGCATCTCGTCTGCAATCGACGGTCTTGCTCCTACTAGTAGTGTTTTCATCGCGCGCAGTCGCGGCGGAAGCCGCCGCGGCGTCCCATCATGATGGCGAAATGGTTGGCGAATCTCGTGGTCGCGGGCGTGTGCTGGTGAATTCGGTTACACCGCTGGCGACGTGCTCGCCGTCGTCGCTCGCGGGATTCACGTCGTCAGTCTCACTCGGGTCAAAGTACGCCTCTTTCTACCGGATTCCGATGCGCCTTTTTATTTGATTTTATTTTCCGAGATTTTTCTGGGCTGCAGCAATAGTCAGTCGCCCTCGGGTCAAAGTACACCTCTTTCTAGCGGCTAGGGTTTCGGAGTGATAATGTAAAATCTCCGAGACAACTTGCAACTTAGAAATGCTAACGGAACGTTTTTAAAGCGTTTAAAAAATGACCTCTAATTTCACGATGCTAATTCAGCGTCGCGCTTTCCCTCTCCCCTCTCTATTCCCTCCGCTCCCCCCACTTCGCCCCCATTTCCTTCTCCCCAGCTTAATGCTCCCTCTTAGAGCTTGCATTTACGGCCATCGGCGCAACCTTCGTGCACCCTCCCTCCCCCCTCCCCCCTCCCCCATCCTCCCCGCATGAAGCTCCATTGGTAAGCGACGACCGGGTCCCTCCTAGAGCTCTCGCCGGCGTTCGGCGTCGCGTTCCCCCTCCCACCTCCCCGCTTTTCTCCTTTCCCCCCTCCCGCCCCCCTCCCCCATCCTCCCATCTCCCCATTTTTCTCTTTCCCCCATCCCCTCCCCCCCCCCCCAGCATGAAGCTCCACTGGAAAGTCGCGACCGGATCGCTGCTCGAGCTCGCAGTAACGGCCACCGGGGCCGCCGCTACCGGCTGGTTCGGCGTCGCATTTTTTCAGAGCACCGGCATGGTGACTTCGAAGTCAGACGCGGTGATCGCGAACCAGCGCGGCTCACCCTTCTTCTTCCCCACCCCCCACCTCACCCCCAACGGCGGGAACGTGGCATGGTGAAGTCAGACGCGGTCATCGCGAACCAGCGCGGCTCAAGAGTCGACTCAACGTTCAGCGTCGCGTTCCCCCTTCCATTCTCCCTCCCCCTTCCCCTTCCCCTTCCCCTTCCCCATTCCCCTCCCATCCCCCTCGGCCCCAGCATGAAGCTTCACTGGAAAGTCACGACCGGGTCGCTGCTCGAGCTCGCAGTAACGGCCACCGGCGCCGCCGCCACCGGGTTGGTTCAGCGTCGCGTTCTCCAAGAGCGGCGGCATGGTGACGTCAGATGCGGTGATCGCGAATCAGGGCAGCTCGCCCTTCCCGTTAATACGTACGCTGTTACGAGCTACTCGACGGTGAAAGCCACGACTGCGTTTGGCGCGGGGAGCCGGTCGTTCACAGGCGGAACAACGGCAACTATGAAGTGAGTCTTGGGGGGCGATGTGTTGTACCCGTTATTAGCTTCTGCAAGTGTACGCGACACGCAGCAACCTGCTCGTGTGTTTCCTGCCCCGCCCTCATCCCGAGCCTCATACCGAACCTCATGCAAGCCCCATCCCGAGCCTCATACCGAACCTCATGCAAGCCCCATCCCAAGCCTCATGCCCTTCTCTTCTTGCCTCTCCAGGTTCACTCGCAGCAAGCACGGGGCGATGGTGGATTGGCGCCGGTGAGCGTGGGGGGGAGCAACAGCCTTGCGCCTGTCCGACCCTCCCACCAACCCTTTTTCCGAACCTCGTGCTCTCATGTGCTCTTTCCTTGGTCCTTAGTGCCACTAGGCTCACGCGCAGCACGGGCGACGGCGGAGCGGCACCAGTGAACGTGAGGGGCAGGCAGCAACAAGATGGTGTATGCTCGAACCACATACCAACCCGTCCACCATCATGTTTCGTTCCAAACCTCCCCACACCCTCGGGTGCCCTTGTCTCTTGTCTTGTCTCATCAGGCTCACGCGCAGCACGGGCGACGGAGGGGTGGCACTGGTGAACGTGAGGGGCAGGCAGCAACAGGATGGTGAATGCTCCTCACTCTCCCCCACCCATGCCACCCTCACAACTACCCCATACACGATCTCGTGAATCTTGAGGCGCCTCAAAAATCGCCCATGCCACCCTCTCACAGTGTGAGAAAACACCTACCCCATACACGATATCGTGCCCTCTGCTTTTTGCCCCTCCAGGTTCACTCGCAGCATGGGGGATGGAGGGTGGCGCCGGTGAATGTGAGGGGCAGCAACAAGATGGTGTATGCTTATTCGAAGAGCGGTGCCACGACCATTGCTTACCACGGCTCGCACTAGTGAGTGATGGGAGCAGGCAGGTGGGTGCTGCCAGGTACATGTGGTGCTGTGCTGTGCGGTTCGATGCTGTGTGGTGCTGTGCGGTGCTCAGCTTAGTTAAGAAGCGGCGCCAAGACTATTGCTCACCATGGCTCGCCGCAGGTGGGTGCTGCCAGGTACTTGCGGTCCTGTGCGGTGCGGTGCGGTGCTGTACTGTGCTGTGCTCTGCTGTGCTGTGCGGAACCTTCACTGTCGATAGATGTTTCTCCTGCAACGGCTCCCCTGTTGCTCCTCCCACAATCCTTCTTTGAGAATTCTCAAAAACATACGCTCCCACAATCCTTCTTTGAGAATTCTCAAAAACATACGCTCCCACAATCCTTCTTTGAGAATTCTAAAAAAACATACGCTCCCACAATCCTTCTTTGAGAATTCTAAAAAAACATACGCTCCCACAATCCTTTTTTGAGAATTCTCAAAAAACATACGCTCCCACAATCCTTTTTTGAGAATTCTCAAAAACATACGCTCCCACAATCCTTCTTTGAGAATTCTCAAAAAACATACGCTCCCACAATCCTTCTTTGAGAATTCTCAAAAAACATACGCTCCACAATCCTTCTTTGAGAATTCTCAAAAAACATACGCTCCCACACATCCTTCTTTGAGAATTCTCAAAAACATACGCTCCCACAATCCTTCTTTGAGAATTCTCAAAAAACATACGCTCCCACAATCCTTCTTTGAGAATTCTCAAAAAACATACGCTCCCACAATCCTTCTTTGAGAATTCTCAAAAACATGCGCTCCCACAATCCTTCTTTGAGAATTCTCAAAAAACATGCGCTCCCACAATCCTTCTTTGAGAATTCTCAAAAAACATACGCTCCCACAATCCTTCTTTGAGAATTCTCAAAAAACATACGCTCCCACAATCCTTTTGAGAATTCTCAAAAAACATACGCTCCCACAATCCTTTTTTGAGAATTCTCAAAAACATACGCTCCCACAATCCTTCTTTGAGAATTCTCAAAAAACATACGCTCCCACAATCCTTCTTTGAGAATTCTCAAAAACATACGCTCCCACAATCCTTCTTTGAGAATTCTCAAAAACATACGCTCCCACAATCCTTCTTTGAGAATTCTCAAAAAACATACGCTCCCACAATCCTTCTTTGAGAATTCTCAAAAACATACGCTCCCACAATCCTTCTTTGAGAATTCTCAAAAAACATACGCTCCCACAATCCTTCTTTGAGAATTCTCAAAAAACATACGTCCCACAATCCTTCTTTGAGAATTCTCAAAAAACATGCGCTCCCACAATCCTTCTTTGAGAATTCTCAAAAAACATGCGCTCCCACAATCCTTCTTTGAGAATTCTCAAAAAACATACGCTCCCACAATCCTTCTTTGAGAATTCTCAAAAAACATACGCTCCCACAATCCTTTTTTGAGAATTCTCAAAAAACATACGCTCCCACAATCCTTTTTTGAGAATTCTCAAAAACATACGCGCCCACAATCCTTCTTTGAGAATTCTCAAAAAACATACGCTCCCACAATCCTTCTTTGAGAATTCTCAAAAAACATACGCTCCCACAATCCTTCTTTGAGAATTCTCAAAAAACATACGCTCCCACAATCCTTCTTTGAGAATTCTCAAAAAACATACGCTCCCACAATCCTTCTTTGAGAATTCTCAAAAAACATACGCTCCCACAATCCTTCTTTGAGAATTCTCAAAAAACATACGCTCCCACAATCCTTCTTTGAGAATTCTCAAAAACATACGTCCCACAATCCTTCTTTGAGAATTCTCAAAAAACATGCGCTCCCACAATCCTTCTTTGAGAATTCTCAAAAAACATGCGCTCCCACAATCCTTCTTTGAGAATTCTCAAAAAACATACGCTCCCACAATCCTTCTTTGAGAATTCTCAAAAAACATACGCTCCCACAATCCTTCTTTGAGAATTCTCAAAAACATACGCTCCCACAATCCTTCTTTGAGAATCTCAAAAAACATACGCTCCCACAATCCTTCTTTGAGAATTCTCAAAAAACATACGCTCCCACAATCCTTCTTTGAGAATTCTCAAAAACATACGCTCCCACAATCCTTCTTTGAGAATTCTCAAAAAACATACGCTCCCACAATCCTTCTTTGAGAATTCTCAAAAAACATACGCTCCCACAATCCTTCTTTGAGAATTCTCAAAAAACATACGCTCCCACAATCCTTCTTTGAGAATTCTCAAAAACATACGCTCCCACAATCCTTCTTTGAGAATTCTCAAAAAACATGCGCTCCCACCCTTCTTTTGAGAATTCTCAAAAAACATGCGCTCCCACAATCCTTCTTTGAGAATTCTCAAAAAACATACGCTCCCACAATCCTTCTTTGAGAATTCTCAAAAAACATACGCTCCCACAATCCTTCTTTGAGAATCTCAAAAAATACGCTCCCACAATCCTTCTTTGAGAATTCTCAAAAACATACGCTCCCACAATCCTTCTTTGAGAATTCTCAAAAAACATACGCTCCCACAATCCTTCTTTGAGAATTCTCAAAAACATACGCTCCCACAATCCTTCTTTGAGAATTCTCAAAAACATACGCTCCCACAATCCTTCTTTGAGAATTCTCAAAAAACATGCGCTCCCACAATCCTTCTTTGAGAATTCTCAAAAAACATGCGCTCCCACAATCCTTCTTTGAGAATTCTAAAAAACATACGCTCCCACAATCCTTCTTTGAGAATTCTCAAAAAACATGCGCTCCCCCACAATCCTTCTTTGAGAATTCTCAAAAAACATACGCTCCCACAATCCTTCTTTGAGAATTCTCAAAAACATACGCTCCCACAATCCTTCTTTGAGAATTCTCAAAAAACATACGCTCCCCACAATCCTTCTTTGAGAATTCTCAAAAAACATACGCTCCCACAATCCTTCTTTGAGAATTCTCAAAAAACATACGCGCTCCCACAATCCTTCTTTTGAGAATTCTCAAAAAACATACGCTCCCCAATCCTTCTTTGAGAATTCTCAAAAAACATACGCTCCCACAATCCTTCTTTGAGAATTCTCAAAAAACATACGCTCCCACAATCCTTCTTTGAGAATTCTCAAAAAACATACGCTCCCACACAATCCTTCTTTGAGAATTCTCAAAAACATACGCTCCCACAATCCTTCTTTGAGAATTCTCAAAAAACATGCGCTCCCACAATCCTTCTTTGAGAATTCTCAAAAAACATGCGCTCCCCCACAATCCTTCTTTGAGAATTCTCAAAAACATACGCTCCCACAATCCTTCTTTGAGAATTCTCAAAAACATACGCTCCCACAATCCTTTTTTGAGAATTCTCAAAAAACATACGCTCCCACAATCCTTTTTGAGAATTCTCAAAAACATACGCTCCCACAATCCTTCTTTGAGAATTCTCAAAAAACATACGCTCCCACAATCCTTCTTTGAGAATTCTCAAAAAACATACGCTCCCACAATCCTTCTTTGAGAATTCTCAAAAAACATACGCTCCCACAATCCTTCTTTGAGAATTCTCAAAAAACATGCGCTCCCACAATCCTTCTTTGAGAATTCTCAAAAAACATGCGCTCCCCCACAATCCTTCTTTGAGAATTCTAAAAAAACATACGCTCCCACAATCCTTCTTTGAGAATTCTCAAAAAACATACGCTCCCACAATCCTTCTTGAGAATTCTCAAAAAACATACGCTCCCACAATCCTTCTTTGAGAATTCTCAAAAAACATACGCTCCCACAATCCTTCTTTGAGAATTCTCAAAAAACATGCGCTCCCACAATCCTTCTTTGAGAATTCTCAAAAAACATACGCTCCCACAATCCTTCTTCCCTCCTCCCGTCTTACATTTCCTCCCCCCTCCACCCAACTCCCCCCCCGCACACCCTTCCCCCCGCACCCCCTCCCCCCCGCATCCACTTCCCCCCCCCTTCCCTCCCTCCCCTGGTGGAATCTACACAGTCGATTTCTCCATTGGAATTCTCTGGATTCGAAACGCAGTTGAATCAGTCGCAGCCACGTAAAGACATGGCTCCTATCTGGGGCTCTATTGGACTTAGTCGATTTCTCCATTGGAATTCTCTGGATTCGA